CCACCCAAGCCCTATGTATGGTAAATTCCTGTCATTAAAGGGGTGGCTTTTAAGTTTTGATATGGATACAGCTTTAAATGAATAGGCATTTGTTATATAACCAATACCAAAAAATAAAAGTAGATCTCAAGATTTGGAAGTTTTAGAATGGCAAGGCTGCACTATGGTGAAATTGCAAAAATATGCAGGAAGTGAGTGAATTTAAAAGTTATGGTAATCACTGCATTTGAATTCATTAATATTGCTTTCAGAAATGTAAAATACACTAAGAAACATAACTTTTAATGGTATAGCACTTTCACCTATGATTCAAACATGAACATTAATTTTTTTTCTTTGTTTGTGCTTACTCAAATTACATGGTACATTTTGGCACTGCTTCTCAAAAAATAATGATAAATTGTAACATTCCAGGGTGAGAAATGGGCCTTTCAAGTAGATTTTTCTTGGCTCCTTAAAATAAAGATTAAGTAGAACATATTTTAGAGTGTCTTAAATTCCACTGCATCTGCACTAGAAATACAGGTGAAACAAAACTGCTAACATTACTTTAGGGAAATATAAGTTAGTTCAGAAATGTTAAATATTCACATTACCATACTTAGATTAAATGGCAACTAGTAAGCATTTGTCTGTCAAAATTCTCGCTTTCTTGACAATATACTTTTAGAGAGAAAGAAAAAGCACTAAGCTTAGACCTTTTGCAATATTTAGATCAGTTCCTCTAATTTGACTACATTTACATAACAGAACCCTATAAAAAGGGTCTGTACGAAACCAATTACTTTTCCACCTTGATGCAACTCTAGGATGTTCTAGAAACACTTGTGTTTTGGGGAAATAAAATGGAAATTTTTAGTGCTTGTTACACTGAAGAAATAATTTATACATAAAAGAAATATACTTTCAAATAAAATCAAATATTAAATAGACAATTCTTTCCTTATGCCTTAAAAAATAACAGTAACATATCATAGGAGAAAGTTCTATATTAAAATCATTATAGCTAATCATAGACATGAGTTTTAGAGACACTTCTATCAAGGCTTTAGATTTTTACCCTACATTGATATATTTTATTTCAAGTTACATAGTACTTAAAACTGTAATAGTCTTTGCCTTCCAGTTTATTATCAGCATGTTACTTTTACACTGCAAGAGTACTTGCTGTATTTTAAAAAGCCATCACATAAATATTCTTTCTTGGGTTTTTTTTGGCAGGGGCAAGGGTATTTCCACAAGGATGGCTGAGTATTTTTATCAGTGATCAGCCAAGAACTTGGAATAAGATTTAATGATTGATTTAGTGAATAGAATGTCAAAGAAAATTTTGCGTATATTAATATGAGGGTATTCACAAAGTTAGACATCAAAATGAATACATCTTTTTATTCAAGGTGTTAGTGTATATGGCACCTATGAATTTGTTTAAATGAAAGATGCTTTTATACACAAAGGTGCTTTTCTGCCTAGAGTCTTAAATTACTATTAATTAAGCACTATATAATAGATAATTATAGTGTCTTAATGTACATGCCAGTGGATTTCCTAGTCTTCTAAATGGCAATTGTTGGCTAATAGTCTTCAGGGGATCATTTATATAGCCATTGTGGTTCTAAAAATACCTCTAAATACCAATGGGACAGCCTTTTTTGAAACATGGCTATTATAAAATGCATTTTTATTTGAAGTGTGTCATTTTGATTATATCACTTTCATGTGCAGCAAAAAATACCAATGCTAAAGAAGAATAAAGGAAAGCTCTTTATATATAGCAAAATTTCAGAACAATATGGTAGTTAACTAGAGAAAGATTCGAGTTAGGAGCATTGGGAATCTGTTCTTTTCATTAGGATTTTCAGCTATTCTGTTCCTTATGATTTGAACTGGAGATGTTTTTATATAGCCTCATTGTTTTGATTTTAATTAATATTTCTATGACAGAGAGACAATTAGGTAAATGCTATTGAATATTAAATATGGTAGTAGCTTAGGGGGAAATAAGCACTTCTGGGTCAAAGCCCTTAAGAAAATATTGTCATATGTGAGCTGATTAATTGAATTGAATGTCAAATGGTTTTGCCACCATCCACCACTCTCATAGTCACCCAGTTCATTATCTAAGGCATTTCAGAATGGAATGACTGGTTATGTCAAAGTTAATGGCATTCTTCTTAATCTTGGTTACTAATGGAGTAAATCTTGATTAGAGAATAGTTCCAACCTCATTAAATTAACTAAATGTAAGAATATCCCAGAGAGTCTAAACCTGTGTGTCATATGAAGCATTTAAATGTTGAATGTGTGAGGATCTCAGGGCTACAGATACCAGTGATACAGAAACCAGTGGTTTCTGTATTTTGTTGGCTCCGATCTATAAGGGCCCATTGAGAACCCTAAAATAGATTCTAGGCTATTCTGTGGCCCTTGCTAACTGTGCCTATCATTGAATGCAAAAGACTCGATTTCTAATCAGACCCATGAAGTTGAGGATTTTCATCAACCATATATATATAGTGCAGAGAACTATTAGAATATGTGAATAATACTGTTCATTAGTATTCCAGAGTGATAATTTTCAAATTGTATTTCAAAATATCTTAGGGGTTCAAACATTCTGCCATTGTTTGATTTTAATTTATACTATTTTAAAAACTAACAAAAGACATACAGAGTTTCAAATGTATATTCCAAACTTTTCATCAGGTTATCAAATGATTAACTTGTCTGACCAGGTTAACTGGTTTTGGGGCAAATCTCAGAATAAAGCTTTTGCTTTTTTGTGCATGTATTTGAAACTATATACTCTTTTCTGTCAATTTGGAAATTATATTGTAGGTCAGAGTTTGCCTGCACCTTTTGTAAATAAGGACTCTAGTAGTGAGCTCCCACCTCTTCTGAATGCAGGCTGTGCATGTCTCCTCATACTAAATTGTCCAGTCTACCACTTCCACAGTTTTGTTATGCCAGACTTAATTTATGCCCAGCAAGGCCCAGACACATCTGTTTGAGTATGTGCTTCTTCCGTAAGGTAATAGTAAGTTAGACTAGTGAGAGTTAACATATTGTAGTGCAAACAACATTGTAAGTTCAGGCTTATTTTACATCTTATGTGCCATTTGTCAAATTAAATTTTTTAATAAGGAATACTGTTACTTATAAATGAATATCTTCGAAGAAAATTCCCTTAATACTCTTCATTATCATCTCTTGTTCATGTTAATTAAAGGCATCTTGCAATTAGAAAGCAAGATTTTTTTCTTTTTTAAAACATTCCCATTTGCAACCACTTACCTCTGTGAATCAGGATTATCTTGATGTTCTGTAGTGAAACAAAACAGAAATAAATTAACCCCTGCAGTTGATATAGGGCTGAAGATATCATTTACAACCTCATATCAATTTGTGTTCATAAACATAGCCTTGTTTCACACTGATCAACTTTTAAAATAAATGTTACTGGTTATTTCTAAAAATTCTGGGAATTTTCCACTCTTCAACATAGAGCTGTAGAGCTCTATACTAGGCAGTTCTTTCTTCTTACACACATATAGTATGTAAATCTTAGCATACATGCTATTGAGTATACAAGTTCATCATTCTTACATTACTGTTTCAAATACCTAAAAATTAGATGTCCAGAATGTAAAAGATACAAAAATCAAGTCATATAGTAAAATGAATTTCAAAATCAGTAGATTAGATAAAGACTATTTACTATTGTAAAATGAACTTCAAATTAAGGGGATTAAATAAAGACTATTATGGCAAAAACTCTACCTTGAGTTCTGAATATAATCTTTTCTACCTATTTGGGAATTATATTGGGGGTCAGAGTTTGCCTGTTTAGCAGTTACATAGTACATGCATGTTCAACTTTCCCAAGAACAGTCAAGGCTAAGAGGCAATAAAAATGGAACCAGAAAAGAACATATTGTGGTACATTAAACTGCTCTCCATTTTTTTTTTGAGAGGGCATCTCTCATATTTATTGATCAAATGGTTGTTAACAATAAAATTCTGTACAGGGGGGTCAATGCTCAATGCACAATCATTAATCCATCTCAAGCCTAATTCTCGTCAGTCTCCAATCTTCTGAAGCATAACGAACAAGTTCTTACATGGTGAACGAATTCTTACATAGTGAATAAGTTCTTACATGGTGAACAGTACAAGGGCAGTCATCACAGAAACTTTCGGTTTTGATCACGCATTATGAATTATAAACAATCAGGTCAAATATGAATATTCGTTTGATTTTTATACTTGATTTATATGTGGATCCCACATTTCTCCCTTTATTATTATTATTGTTTTTATTTTTAATAAAATGCTGAAGTGGTAGGTAGATGCAAGATAAAGGTAGAAAACATAGTTTAGTGTTGTAAGAGAAACTGCTCTCCATTTTTAACCGGACTTAGCTCTGTCTCTCTTCACTGCAGTAACAAAATCACTCACTGCTTTCCCTACTTCTTACTGATGCTTTGGAGAGATAAGGGTGAATGGCCTTGGAACCTGATATGTGTCCTTTGGGTTTTATTATCCATTGTTCTTGCCCTAGACTTCAGTAATGGCTTTAGAAAGCCTTAATTTATTAGAATGTGCAGTCTTCTTTCCTGGTAGGACTTGAGTGTATACCTCTGAAATATCATAAATTTTGTTTTTAAAAGCACATTATTTATGCACTGATTTTCCATAGCATCTTTACCCACAAATATAAGTGGTATTTTAGTGGGGAAGAGAAAGATGACAAAGGTATGTTTAGACAGCCTTGCACCAAAAAAATAATCTCATTGCTTGAGGTTTTCTATGTGAGGAGTTTTGAAAAATCTAACTTTAATAAATGTGTTTTGTGGCTAAAATTCTCCTGTCCTAACCCCTCCCACTCCTACCACCATTTGTCATATTTCTGCTGGACACATTGTTCAGGGGTCTGGATGAGCGGTTGCCCTTCTTGTCACTGCTTTGCTTACCTTGTGTGTGTTTTTCTATCTTTGCAGAGACCCTCCTGGATGACTTCCTCCTGACGTACACAGTCTTCATGACAACTGACGACCTGTGCCAGGCGCTATTGAGGCAATATCCTCCACTAACTTCAGGCTGCTGTGCCAGCTTCCTCTCACACATGTCTTCCCACTAAGAGTTAACTGCCTTTCTTAATTTACTCAGGCCCTCAGTAGGGTGTGGGTATGTTAAGTATTAATGCAATTATATCCAATGTAAAAGATGAAATGAGACAGAATCAACAGGGGTAACTGGAAATGCTATGCTGCTGTTTTTATATTCTGTGTCATGGGTAAATTGTACTATTTATGTTCTCTTCAAACCTCTGTCTCAAGACTAGAAATCTGGAGGTAAATTTGGCCTCATGGGTAAACCCCAGGGTCAAGAGTTTGAGGGGATTGGAGAAGGGGATCGGTCAGTTAGTGCCAGCATACTTCGGCAGAAAAAGGACATTTGTGATAACAAGTTTTGGGCAAATGAGCCCAGGAGAGACAAGCTATTCCCCAGCACTGAAGGTCTGAACTGACCCCTGCAACCAAGTCTCATCTTTTCAGAGCTGGTGGATGTGCTTAGGAGGTAAAGACCAGTTAAGGAAGCGTTATGATTTTATATGCTAACTAGAAGAGATGCACCAGATGAAAGGCCAAAAAGCCTAGTCTAGTAAACACACTCTATCTCCAGGCGGGCTTCTTGCCTCACAGTGTTTAAGGTGCTTCAGAAGCATTTAAGTAGTCTGTTAACTATCCAGACCAAAGAGTCTACTTAAGCCCACATGAGAATTTTTAGGAAGATGGATAATTTTCGCATATCCCTAAGTTTTATTCAGCCTTAATGGTAACAGTCTTGATATTACTCTTTTCCTGTTAAATAATTGTTACATTTCTCCCTCACTTTACAGTATTTTCCTGCTTAAAAGAATATCTTAAAGCTCCATAAAGGGATAGTTGAAGTAAAATCTCTCTTAATAAATATATAAACCAGCAATGGTGATTACTTTTAGTGCTTTACTAAATCATATAGCCACACAAAGCTACAGACACTTTGAAACTTTTTAGAACCAGTTTATGAACCTGGTCTTGAAACATTATTAGTTTTGAATTGGGAAAATCTCAAAAACAGATTTCTTCCACAGCTTCCAAGTGGGGTGTTAAAGACATTTAGCAATAAATACAAGGTTTTCAATTCTCCTTCTTTAAAAGCATTTTGGAAAAATACCTATGAGCAGATTTCTTCTAAATTTTAATGCTAACATTTATGAAAGAATTACCATCTATTAAATAATATAGTTTGTTGGATAGCAAACTATATGCCTTCAAGCTACTCTTTTTAAATATGACCCTAATATTATTTGTGATTATCACTGAGTAATTTAATGTCTCATAGAGTTTCCCTGAAGAACCTCTAAAACTGCACCTGGATATAAACATGTTTTAAGTCTTCAGCTTAAGTCATTTTCCTCGGTTTACTCTTGCTCTTCTCACTGCACACCTTACTCACCCTATGCATATTCTTGTCTTCCTGCCTGCTTAGATACCTGTAGATCCTTTGGAAAGTGTGCATTAGCATATTTTGTGAGGCCAAGAATAAACAGATCTCTTCACATTTTTATTTTCCACAATGTAATGTTCTTTCTTAACCACTTGCACCTATTCTGCTAAGAAATACCAAGGCAAAGAAGAAAACTCAGATGTTCCGTGTCGGAAACGTAAGGTCTTACATCTTGTTTCCCAGTGGATTGCTCTCTACAAAGACTGGTTACATGAAGATGAACATTCAAAAATGTTTTTAAAGGTAATACAAGACTTCCAGCGATTCTTTGGTGCCAAATGACTGATTTTATTCCAGTAATACCTTTCAAAAATCTCATTTGTAGTTGCACTCTTTTAATCGATTCATAATATTCAAGTTGTGACTCAAAGCATTGCTTAGCATATGATACTGAGTACATAGAAATTTTTATTAAATTTTAAATAATTATGAAAAAATATAGAAGGCAAGTTTTACATTCACTAATGTAAGGTGATTTTATGTAAGTCATGGGAATTTTTATTGCTAATGAAATAGTTAAGGAAGGTAAAATACAACTTACTTTAAAAACTTGATACTATTTAACACACTGAGATTCATTATGAGTTTGAACTAACCACTATCATATATACAATATTTGGATAATGCTATCATTTAAAAACTATATTGACAATATATATGCTATGAAACTTTTTCAGGATATGATATATTTTGAGAATTTTAAGGAATAATAACTTATAAAATAGATACTAAGCTAGATTTACATTTGGAATTAGATAAACTGATATATTTTTCTAATCATTAATAGGTTGCAGTATCTTTTCAACACAGGTAATTCTCTGGAGATGATTTGTAGACAGTTGGATTCTTTTGGCCAACAAAACCATGTTAGCTATGTAGGTTAACACAGAGAAGGGATAGAATGGAAACTGAGCAGGGAAGAGTTCTATTTCAGAATAGGCCAGTGTTTAAACTGATTTTGCCTTTCATGAAGGAAATCACTTTGATTTTAAAATTCAGATGTCATTTAAACATCTAATTAAAAGCTGGTTTAGCCAATTCTTTGACTAAACTAATGTTTTTAAAACAAGTGGGTAATTTAATTCAACAGATTTTTTCCCTCCCAAATAATTATGTGGATATTATTTTTAAAAATATAGAATAGGCATGGAAATCTTGAATAGCCAGCCAGATATCTCTAAGTTTCCAGCATTCCTTTCCTATAGTCCCTAAATGCTTCAAGAGAACCTTGGCAGTTGAGTAAGGGACTAGGGGTTGGAATCCTACTCAGGATCTCATTAGTACCTGGTTTAACCCTCTGCATTGTCCTGAATTCCACCTGTTTCCTTGAGCACGTTAACCATTGTATATATGAGTCTTCATCCTCACAAAATAGGCATTAAACCACTTCAGCTGCCATTTTGCTTGTTCCCCAGACCATATACAGAAATGTACTGGATGATGTATATGAATATCCAATACTTGAAAAAGAATTGAAAGAATTTCAAAAGATACTTGGAATGCCCCGTCGTCAGTAAGTATTTCATTTTCCTTATCACAGGCAATACAAGAAAGCAACAGCAAATGTGATAGATTTTGGGATGTCTTATAAAGTTTATTTTGCACATTCTGAATCTGGGAGTCCCTTTGATTCCTTATCTTTTCTAATAGTAAAGATATTTTTTTTAATCCCCAAATGAACACTAAGTCAAGCTTATTGAGTTGTTGTTTTTTAACACTGTTCGATATGACCATGACAACCTGGGTGCATAAAAAACAATCATTTTATATATTATTGTTTAATTTTAAAAGTGTAAATATTTAACTTGTCATTTTGGGGCTTTTAGCTATTTCTAATGGGATAGGAAGAAAAGTTTTATGAATACATCCCAGCAAGTCACAGAGCACTTTAAAGGCTTAATTTTATGGATCCTTTGGGGTTCTTTATCAAATTAGAAGGATTAAAGCAAACCATTCACTCAGTGGCTTTTGGCATGTCCACATATCCCTGAGGTAGCTCTCATTAGTCTTTCAAATTGCCAATACCTGATTTTGCTCTGATTTACCACCCATACTAATTTTCCTAAGTGAAAACATCAAGCCATTATTCAGCTTTCAGACATAGATGCAGAGCTAATCTGAGAGGAAAAAACTGTTCTCTAATTAACTATAGTTTCTACTTAATAAACATGAAATATACCTGTTGTCAAGTTGTGAAAAAAACTTCTGTTAAGATTTCAGCAGTCACAAATACACTTCTCATAGAAAATGTGAGTTCAGGCTTTCCAGATTTCCAGATTACTGATTTAAGATTTAAAATCTGACTTAATTTTAGCAAAGGGAGATCTTATTGCAAATTAAATGTCTATATAAATTAATTTTGGGGAGTAAACAAATCATGTATAAGCCTTAGTCCTCAGTCAGGAAAATCACATATTTAGAAATTCAGAAATGAGGTACAAGTTAGGACAGTGTGTCAGAAATGAATGTTGTGAGTTTTGATGGCCTTTTGCTGTAGTCTACACCATAAGAGTTTCCATACCTTAAAACCCGTATGAAAATAGGGACAAATAAATGAAAAAAAAAAAGAAAGACAGCCTTTACATCAAAATAATAATCCACATGAAAGTTGGTCTGTACAGTAAATCAGGCCTTGTTACAGTTGGGAAACTTTAATTCATGGTTTAATACACTTAAATGAACTAAATACATTAGTGGAGTATAATACATCCCATTCAAAAATACACATAAAAGTGGAAAATAATAGATTAAAAAAAGAAAACAGTACAAGACATGAGTCTTGCCTCTTTGTTGTAAGATGATGAGATGTCTTTAGATTCTGGAATAAGGTTTGATCTGGGGACCTGCAGAATGTTCCTAGTTCCACCACAGAGAAACACCCTCTAAAAGATGTACCTTGGCTGACCTGTATTCCTATCTGAGTAATAGTAATTTCATCTAAAATCATTGAGTACTTGAGAAAACTTAAGAGTTTCTGTGGACTGAATAAATCCAGTTCTTCCTTCAATGTTCACTTTCTGTGGGTAGAAAGAAAAATATACCTGTTGGACAAATAGCTTCTTCTCTTGTTGATTCACTTGAAATTCAGAGCATGGTGTCAAGTATTTTATACCTAGTAAACTTATGAATACTGTGTTTTATCTTTTTGAGGAGCAAAAACCTCTGCCCAGTGCCTGAAAATTAATCTTCTGTGACATTAACTACATTATTCTGGGTTTGGGACAAAGACTGACTTCTTGTCTTCTCCTTTCAGCACTGTAGATGAATATTCACCACAAAGAAAGGTAAGGCAGACCCTTTTCTGTCTGAAATGGGGTGATCTGGTTTGGAGACCCTGCCTTGCGTCACCTGACCTTTCTTCAATATTGAAGTGAATACTGCCTCAAGCGGAGCAGGGCAAAGGGGGCCGCCTGAGGCTGCAGCTTCTCTGCGCTTTCCTGTTTCACTTCAGTTTACCTGGGTTGCTGGTACAGATCTCATTGCAGCCTTGTGCCCATGATTTTATGACATTTTGCATATTTTTGTGGTACATTTTGGAGTCTCAGAATTTCCCCAATATCCCCAGAGTGATACATGTTTGAATTCTAAACATCTATGCAGAAAAAAAAAATCCAGGCAAGAGTCATGACTGTAAGAGTAAGGAAGTCTTATAAGAAAAAGGTTTGCATTTTTCAACCCAACAGAAAGAGAGATGGTAGCAAGAGTGAATGTGTTTCCCCTCCAACTTGCAGGGAAATTGTAAAATGCAATGTCAGGCACAAGTTTTATGGAAGTTGATATTTCAGGTTGGATAATCATAATGAATAATGTATCTATTTCCCTTGAGAAAGGTACTACAGCAGAAACATGAAACCATCTCAAAGTTGCTTTATCTAAAAGCAAGGTTGTTGGGATAGGGACACATTGTCTTTCCCGGGAGAAGAGTCTGTAGATATTTGTAGTAGCCAAGAGATTGAGAATCATGCCAATGTTCTCCAGCGTGTTGCAGGGAATAATTATAGGGGCTTTTTGCCTGTTGTGGATATTGCCCAAGGTCTGTCATGTTGCTCAGAATCTCCAGTTCCACAGGTACTAATGAAGCAACTCCCAGTTTATTCCTGTAAGATTGGTTGGGTGGATTTCATGTTTTTTAAAAAAAATTTTTGGCTAACTCTTTTGGAACATATTGTAAACAGCTGTGGTTTTCCAAAGGGCAGGGATACATTCATTCATTGTTCTCTTTTTCCCTTCTCACAGAATAAAGCCCTTTTCCACCAATTCAGTCTTAAGGAGAACTGGCTCCAGCATAGGGGAACTGTGACTGAAACAGAGGAAAGTGAGTATGATTTTAACGAGGGTTTGGGGTAAGTGGAGTAGCAGTCAGTCGTCCTTTCTCCAACATTAGCTCATCAGCCTGCCTTTAACCATTTCCAGCTACCATGCTCCTCTCCCAAGCATGTTAGCATCAAACGTGATGGTTTTTATTTTCTCACTTTGAGTGTCATAATTTTCTTGATCATATACTAGTGTCACAGGGACCAAGGACATTTTTAATTTGGGAAGGACAGAAAGGAGGCTGCAAGGAGCCATCCTGCATTCTGGCGGAGAGGTGTAAAATGGCCTGGAAACGCAACCTTTTTCCTCTTGGCCCTCTTTTCCCAGCTTTTTCAGCCCATTGCCTGTGACTAAGTGAGAAGTCCACTAACGCCAGAGTAGAGGGCATTAGTTGAGTCAATCCCTGAGATTTGAGAAGAATATCTGGAGAGAATAATGAAAGGAAGGATGTGCAATTGAAATTTCTTCAAGGTGAGGCCGTGCTGGGCATTGCTGCCCCAGTCAGGGCCCGCGAGTGCTGACAGGGCCCGTGACCCACCCCGAAGAGGGCTGCACGTCAGAACAAGGGGAGGCACTTGTTAGACCCCTGAAGGTGCTGACTGGTGCAATGGTATTTTATTGTGGAGCAGGAAATGGTTTCCTCCTGTTTGCATAAAGGTTGAGTCAAGTGCAGAGCTGGGAAACACTTAAAGCAATTTAAATGTTTCATGCTATTGTGGCTTGGTGACTTTCTCTTTTAATTCACCTTTCAATATGTGCTGAAATTCTAAGTGTGACTGCTTAATATTTGCTCAGCTTCTGGAACACTTAAATAACAAATATCACAAAGATGCTGCTTCTGTTCCATAGTGTTTGTATACAGTGCTGCTCACGATGGGACTCTGTCCTGTCCTAAGTGTCATCTGTACCACGTGCAGCAGCGAAAGGAATTGTCTGACCTCCTGGTCCCTTAGTTGCTGCCCATTTGTCTTACAATTTAGTTGTGTAGTTTTCCAAGTTGAGTCTCAAAGACTCTGAGTGCTCCAATACCCTGAGCCCCTTTTTGTTAATCAGTTTATTAAGCAAGCTGTAGATGGTCCTCACAGTTAGTGGTTTGTAGACTGGATCTTTGCCTTGTTCAAAAATTCCATTTTTCCATGCTAGCAAAAAAAAGCCTTTTTGTCTCTGACAAGCCTGTTGGCTACATAGAAAGCAACTATTTGTTCGATGCTGTTGTCTTAGTGTGGCGCACCCAACCACACCACACACAAGAGTGCTGCCGGTGCCTCCTGGCGGCATCTTTACTCAGAGGTTTGCACATACAAACTCAGAGTTTGTCTTTTGCTTTATTTGCATTTCTGTGGAAACATTTCTGGCTTTATTTTTGCAGTGCCATTTAAATTGCATATGAAATATCTCTAGGAGCTGCTATACAGAAGAGAAGATCTAAGTATATGTTTTCTCTTTTCTAAAGAAGCTAATGTTTTATACATTCAGAGTAGCTAATATAAGAAGCAAATAATGTGTTAATTATCTGCATTACTATTAAAACAGTTTCTGCTATCAAATCAGAATGAAATTTCTTTCCAGGACCCATTCACCGTGCTAGTGATAATGCCCTAGTAATAATTATGTACACCGCAGACAATAAAAAGGAAACTAAAAAGGTAGAAATGTGACTTCTATTTGGAAACCAAACTCGTCACCACCTTGATCAAGGGGGTCATTCTTGAGTGATTGAGAAGGCTGAGCATAGAAACCTCAGCACATGATAGATTTTTCGATAAGCTTATGAAAATTCTAATAACGAACTGATGTTCTTGATTGGGCCACTCTGGCTATACAGGAATGGAGTGCAAGATATGGCTCTCTTTTCACAGTGTGGGAAGCCTGGGAACTGCTAATGCTTGTCCCCCAACTTTATAATGTGTGGGCAAGCACACATCTGTATGCATATACCCTCTCCACCCATGAGCATATGGAAGTATGTAAATCTCACTGAGGTGTTTTATACTGAAAAGAATGATAAAGTGTGTGGATGTTTGATTTGAGAAAGTGTGTACCTCATGACCACAGTCCTGTTTCCTAACAACTCTTGCCTTTTGCAGTTTTTTGCCATGTGTACATAACAGAGCACTCTTACGTCAGCGTGAAGGCAAAAGTTTCCAGTACAGCCCAGGAGATCCTGAAAGTTGTAGCAGAAAAGATCCAGCATGCAGAAGAGGAGCTGGCTCTAGTGGCCGTCACATTCTCTGGGGGTAAAAATTATTTTCTGTTATTGAGCATCAGTCTTTCAATGGATCTCCTCCAAAAGGAGGGAGTTGACATTTTTGTGGAGTAAATGTGCTGTTCATCTCTTGTGGGTCCCACAACTGGATGACAACAGTGACAATAAGAGGCTGCCTACCAGACGTGTTTCCATGGTAACAGTTGGATACTGTTGGACACTGAATTTCTTCCCCTAGAACTGAATAGCAAGCCATGCCAGCATTTTCAAATACATTATAAAGCTTTTCATATTTTGTGCTCTAGATAAGCCTTCTATTTTCATATTTAAATTAACTTGGGAAATTGCTAAGGGATGAAATTACTTTAGGAAGAAAAAAGACAGCCTTGAACTAGTCATATTGCTGGCTGACAATTTAATACATAAAGACTCCTTATTGAAGGAAATACAAAACTGTGCAATAAGCTGAGAGCAGTGTTCCTTCAGGCAGATGTGGGGAGTGAGGCCTGGTTATAGCTTTTCCTTCTGTTGGGCCTTATTTATCCTCAGAGAATGGCTTATTGTCTCTTTTGAATAAGATCACACAGATTACAAGCTGACACTATTGATCTATGTGACCTGAACAGATCCCTTCGTTTTCACTGGAGACTGTCAGATCTCAATGTTGCTGGCCTCCTTTTTGGCTTATAATCTTTATTTAATATCTCATTAACCCTGAGAAAAATATAAAGAAAGTGACTTAGCATCAGTAGTTGAAAAATGGGAATACTGTGTGAACAAATCAACCAGACATGGGGCAGGCAGGGGAAGGGGAGCAGATAAATGGAATTCCTGTTTACCCTTTGTTATCATTCTAGAGTCAAGAGAAGAATATCAGGATTTCACTTAACCTAGGTAAAGCATTATGTGACAGAATATTGCTTCTATTGCTCTGTTACACAGGTGCAGGTAAAATGGTCCTATAAGCTACTCAATGACATTTGCAAACAGATATAGTCTTCTCCCTGGTTTTAATAAATGAGAGTTTCTTCTCCCCTCACCCAGAGCCCTAATTGTGCATCTCATTAAAACATTATCTAGAAAAAGCAAAAATGTGAGAAACATATGGACAAAAGAGTGGTTGAATTTTTAATAAAGTATTTCAGGCATTCCAGATGGATACAATAAATGTATATTATTTTAATTTTAAGTGACCAAAAATATCAAATGATTCCAAACAATAGTAAGCTTCATCAAACGAGCATTTGCCTCTCCAGACAGTACTATTACAGAAAGTGATCCCTGGGTCTGCACTTAGACAGGAGGTGCTGGAGAAGGAAGGACCCTGAATGAACTTGGTAGCACAGAGACCCACCTCCCTGGGAGGCTGACTCAGCCAGCTCAAGGCCACATGTGAATCTGGAAATTAATGAATGCCTCTTTTACTACCTAGTATCTATTTGATGGCCATGAAATACCGTTTTTACACTCTATTAAGTTAGATTCATCAGGGAGGGCAATGGCATTCTAATGTGTATAGACTCATTGCTAATCTTCACTAGAAATATCAGCTTATCTCTTGAATTATCCCATAGATTTGGAAATGTGCCATCATTTTCCATCAATTAGCCTTTTGTCTATTAAGAACCTTTCTGCCTGCAGCTTAATATCCCCCAAATAATAATGCTTTTATGAAGGAAAAAAAAGACCTTAATATATTCCTTGCTCTAGTTACATAATTTTCAATAAATAATATAAATGCTACCTCAGACTGAAATGACAATGAGATCTGTTGTTTTCTTTTTGTCAAAAAAAGTTTAAAGATGTTGGCAGTTTTGTAGGTTGTGTGGGTTTTTCTAAAAGGACCCTCATAGCTTTCCCTAGGTTTCTAGCTGTTTGGTACTCAGGGAAGGTATATGCATAATATAACAGAAACCCACCCAGTTATTCAGAGCTTCAAATTCTGTTAACTTTAATCTTTTATAGTATAGTGACAAACCTGAAAATAAGGGGGGAAATGTTTCTCAGCAAGTAGAAATATCACTGTCAGAAAGCCCTGGGCTTTTATTCTGTAGCAAGTGTGAAATGGCTCTCATAGGTTCAGATTTAAGGTATCCATGAGCACACAGAGGATTGTAAGGAATTGTAGCTAAACAAAGAAAGAGGAGATGGAAGAACTTCAGAGCTTAGTCACATGGGACCATTTACTATACATGTCAACAGCCTGACATGATTGTACTATTGATCTTAATAATGCTGGGCCATTAAGAACATATTAGATTATTATTTGTGTACTTTGTATTAAGCAGAAATGTTCAAAACAAAATTTTGCCTTTGAACTGATTAAGTTATGTAGAATATTGCATTTTTCAACCATGCTGGATAACTGAAGGAGAAGCTGATTATGTTATGGTGGAATAAACTTGAGTATTACTTTAGTTGATTCCCATCTGTGTGTTCGAGTTAGGAGGAAAACATTTTTTCTAAAAAAAAAAAAAGGTTATTGTGTTATAAGGTAGCTCCAACTCTCTCAGTAGAAAAATGGCTGAAGCATAGGAACAATTTGCAATAAAGGAAATAGAAGAAGAATATATGGAAAATATTCAACTTCACTGTAGTCAAGAAATACAAAATAAACTGAGAATCTGTTTTTGGTTTTAGCAAAATAGCAAACTTAGCAGAAGTAATGATCAGTGTTGGTTAGTGTGAGAATCAGGAAGCAATTTGGTAGTGTCAAAACCTTTAAAATACATCCATTCCCTTTGACCCAGTAATTCCACTCCTAGGAATCTATCTTAAAAACATCATCTAGAAGCAGCCAAAGATTTATGTACAAGGATGTTGACTATAGTTTGTATTAATGCTACTGTAATAATGGATCCCATCTGTTAAGCCCTTGTTATGTGCCAGGCTCCATGCTAGTATTTAAGCATATATTTCGCCTTCTAATTTATATGACTGAAAGAAATTATAAATTGTTAAATGTTCAAAAGTAGGGAAGAGAGACAATGATGGTATAATGGGCTGTTATATAACCAATTAAACATGATGTATAAGTAATTTTGACAAGTGGGTAAGTCCTTATAATAAAATCAGAACATAAATCATATATGGAATAATAGCAAATATATACATATATGTATCCATAATAATTATGGCTGCATATGTGGAGATAATTGCAGCTGTATGTATGTATGTTTACATATATACACATTTACATAAAGATCAGAGCGAAAATATACCCAGCTATTTTACATTAACAGTATTACCAGTCCCATTGATTAGTTATCTTAGAGTGAAGGGATTATGAGTGAATTTTACTTTCTTCTCTAAAGTGTCCTGTGTTCTAAACAATGACTAAGTATAAGAATCACAAGAGGCTTCCACTTCATGGTCAATGAGCACCAATGTCACAGTTCCATTGCTGCGATTGTATAGAGGATGCAGAACTGAATCAAATCTACTTTGCATCTTATTTACTCATAAATATTTTTGTCAAGTTTCACTCTTTAGATGTACCGTGTATGTCTACTGCTGTTCTTGTGTTTCTAATTACATTTTTTTTTTTCATAAAGAAAAGCATGAACTTCAGCCAAATGACTTGGCCATCTCCAAATCCCTTGATGCGTCTGGTCGAATATATGTCTACCAGAAAGACCTAGCTGACACTTTGGTAAGGACCTTCAGCCTATACTTAAAGCATATACTGATACCTATACAGACACCAATGTCAGACTAAAAGCATATTTTTGTATATTTTATAATGCATGTTAGAAAACTACACTGAACTGTTTCTTCCTCTAGCCAACAATACATGTGTCAAATAATACTACTTCTACAGATCAAAGAGAGCCACAACTTGAGGAATTCTAAACTCCTAAGTCAAATCTTGCTTCTCTCTGAGCCCCTGAAAAAAGGGATCTGAGCAAACTGACACTCTCTCTGATGGATCTTAACTCCATGCCTTCTTTTTGGTGGATATCTGGAGATTAGGCTGAGAAATGCACCCTGCACAGATTTAAGGGAAAGAGACTCTGTGTCCTTTGTCTCAGACCATTTGGTGCACTTTGAGGGTGCCAGTCCCATGAGGAAAGGGTGGATTACCAACCTTCTCTGGGTGAAACAGGCTTGTAACAATAGGGCACCAGGTGTCATTGAAGAGTAAGAGTTTGAAGAAATGTAGAACACACACTGTAAGTTATTTTTAGTTTAAATTTAAGAACATTTACACCAAAACTGATGACTTGTTTGTGTTGTTAAATACCTCAGTCTTGTATCTGTACATGATGTAATTCCATCGGTGAAACGGGAAGGACTAGATGCTGCATCCTTGAGTAAACAACGAGATTGGTTGCCTGCACCCCTCCCCACAGGGAGGACCATCTAATGTGTCACTGCTGTGGACCTCCTGATGGTGGCAGAATGCCACGCCCTAATCGTCCCCCTCGCCCCCTTTCCTGGGCCACACGTATATCCCATGCAGACTCCTGTGTGCATTCCCAGAGCTCACTTCTGCCACTGTCCAGGGCCAGCTCCAGAAGAGTAGATGGCAGGCCTGAGGCAACGTCCTAATGGAGTAAACAGGTGCCCCGCAATATGTTCCGAGAGGAACCAGACTCCATCCTTTCCTCCAATGTTTCCCCCACTCCAACTTTGCATGCCAATGAAAATTTCCCCGCTGGAAATGTAGCTTTATGTATGTCATCTCCAAAAGATTTCAGTTGAAATGAAATATTATCAGAGAAGGAAAACACGTGAAACCACTAGTACCTGCTGTATGTCATGTAGATTAGTTCATCCTCTTGGAAAGCAATTGGAAGTGTTTCTTGGAGAGGACGCAGGGTGACCCAAATAACCTGTGGGCAGGGCCACAGCAAGGGGCATATTTAGGGAGAAATTAGAGAGATAAAAAGCCAACTGAAAAAATTCTTACACCTCCCAATGAGTAGGCAGAGTTCTGTGTTATTTCCCAGTTCTTGGTTCTCCCTTTGGATGTTTCCAGTGCAACTGGGTGTCTGTCTACTGCCAACCTAACCAGACCCTGAGACACGTGGGCTTCCCCGACCTCAGCACCTCAGTCTGTTTACAGGGATTCATTCAGCCCACCCTTAGCGAGCCCTCAGGTGTCCCACTCAGGGACAGTTTGTACCTTGACCTTCTCTGAAGAGAATCAAGTCTGTGGAAAAGTTCTGTGAAGGTCTTTTTGTCATTTGCTTTTTTCTAATTAGAAAACCTTTTCATAAATGTAAAACTTTCTAAAATACAAATAATGGATTTTTCAGTTTAAAAAAACAGATTAATATTTGGAATCTTCTATGTGATTTATTTTTCCTGCTATATCATTTATTTTTGCAAAGTCCCATTCTTTCTTTTTCCAAGTCATCAACTATTTTAACACCATTACCTAACTACTCAAGTCCAACCTCTCAAATGGGAGAATTTATATTTTAATTAGAAAATATCAAATATTTTGAAAAGATGCCAGATAATTTTTAATAAATTTAACAGGAACAATAGATTTCAAGATGTGGTGACTTTCAATAATTTCATGCCAGATTTTAAGGAAATACTATTACCAAACTCATACCTATTTGCGTGGAGAGAGCAGTAGATACCCACTCATCCACCATGGGGCATAAAGGAAGTTACTTCTATTTTTTTATTTCTTGTTTAAATTATTATTGCTCTCCACAGGCATTTTAGTAAAATTTGTAAATGTGTGTCTGGAATGAGACTTGTTAAACATATTTCCTGTAAAAGCCATGTCTGACTTTATTGAAGTGCACCATGACATTTCTTTTGTTTGTTTTTATACTAACCCTGCTGGCACATTAATTCTTCCCAGAAGCCAAAGTGATTTCAGGGCTTTCGCTTTCATTATGCTGTCTGCTGGGCCAGTGTTTTATAATCACATTTGTGCGTGCACACGCAGGGAGGGGTAGGGTGGCAGGCTAACTCAGGGAAGTGTCATTGATCACATTCTCCTGTTTCCAGCGCTGTTTCCTAAATTGGCTGTAACTCACTGAAGGTGAACAGACCAGGGAAAATATTACACTGACACACTATTTTTCTAATCTGGGCTTCTCGTGCTTTTCTACGGCCAGCCAATTCAGTGCCAAACACTTGGGAATTACTAAAGATCTTGTTGCTTCTGTCAATTTAGAGCCCGTTAGCTGAAAATGAGGAATCACAGCAAAGGTCTGTGAGGATTTTGGGAATGAACACTTGGGATCTTGCTCTGGAATTAATGAATTTTGATTGGAGTCTCTTCAATTCAATTCACGAGGTAAGTAAGAAGATGAAAGACAGAATAAATGCTAGTGCTATTTTTAACTGTGAATTCCTTTTGAAGAGTATTTGTGTCTGACTAGGTTTTGAAGATCGAGCATCTGATGATAGAGTTATACTTAAGATACCATGACCCAAAAAGATATTTTAGGGACTTTAAATATATTGAAAGATGGACCCAAACCCAGGAAAATCAGAATAGATGGTCAGGCTTTATTTTCTCTTAATCTAATCATAAGTTTGTATAATGTAATGTAGATGTGCTATATTTTTATATGTATGAATACATGTGTATATGTATTTTATATGTATGTATATGTAGGTATGAAACTCCGATGGGGTTGAAAAGCCTTTTTACATTTGATAACTTTGATATTGATATTTTAATTTTTTCCATGAAGTTTATAGTAGTTACACAGAATCATATTTATATATATACCTACACAACATCCAGTCTATTACTTAAGAACATTCTATTGATGTAGACTATGCTGCAAGACTTTAAGTCCTTTCTTTAAAATTTTGAAATATATTTTGAATTTTCATGTCTACTAGCCTCTCCCTTGAAGACAGCTTAAACATTTATAAAACAATAGATTTGGGCAAATGTTTCTGACAGTTAATGAATGGATTGAGCCATGGAAAAGCTCACAGGAACCAGGAGATGAAGAATGAGAAAGCTCTGTGCACCCATATGTTCCATTTGCTTTGCCATCTTAGTGCAATTTTTCAGTACAAAACAGCCATTCCTTTTGAAGAAGGAACTCATGCCCAACTCAGGGAACCCAGCTTCACTTTCATTTTGGAATGTCTTCTAAATGTCCTCCTGTTTTCTCATTAGAAAATTCCAACATTATGATCTGAAGTTGAGAAAGCAAGTGAACTCATTCAAGCTGGATGAGTTGGGAGTTTGGAAATGTTAATTGTATGGGATGTGTGCCTGCTTACGTTGCTTCTACAGTAGGAGAGCACCAAATACTTCTGTAAAATACATGTATACTCAGCCCTCTGTTTAAAAACAAATCTCTATTGCTTTGCAGATGATCAGTCTGTATAAATAGTTACTGGTCTTAGATGACTGTGTAAATTTTGGACCTGGCACCAATCTCACTCTGTTTATTCAGCAGTATCTTGTATCAGTGGTTCTCAAAGGGCATGGGTACCCAAACCAGCATCAGCACCACCTGGGAACTTACTCAAAATGCATATTTTTGGCCCCATCACAACCCCCACATTGAGTTAGAAAGTTTGGTGAATGGGGTTCAGCAGTCTGGGCTTTAACAGGCTTACAGGCAATCCTGATTCATATTATAATTTGAGAACCCTTTTCTAGAGAATCTACCTGTGAGGGTCAAGTGTGCATATTAACAAGTACTAGTGATACTCATTTTCATCAAATTTGCCAAAACAAGTTTAGGGAGTTTGGATTTGATTCAGCTTGTGATTTAAACTTTAGAATGTCAGATTTTCATGTAAAGGCATCATCCTTACATTCTACAAATATGTGTATGAAGTTTCTAGGTGAACATTGCTTAATGAGGCATCTCTGAAACTAAACTGTTTAAAATTTAATATATTATTTGTTATATTCTCCTAATATGATATGAGAGTGGCTACCTGAAGTAGCTCTTAGAAATGGATCAACTTTTGTATCAACTTCATTTTGAATGTGCTAAAAATAAATGCTGGAATGAATACATTTTCTTTTAGCAAGAGCTGATCTACTTCACGTTCAGCAGACAAGGAAGTGGGGAGCACACAGTGAACCTCAGTCTACTGCTCCAGAGATGCAATGAAGTCCAGCTCTGGGTGGCCACGGAGATTCTGCTCTGCAGCCAGCTGGGCAAGCGAGTGCAGCTGGTGAAAAAATTCATCAAAATCGCTGCTCAGTGAGTTTCTAGTGGTGAAAAGTGCAATTCCTCTAATCTCCTTGAGAGAGTACCTTTTTTTTCCTTGTGATGATAACAAGGGTTGGGATGTAAAAGTATAATATTGAGTTAAGTCGCCAAATGATTGAAAAGGTCTGGTCTTGAATATTTATGTCTTTGAACTTGAAGTAGTTATAATTTAAAATAAATGTCAAAATACCAGACTGAAGTGCTCTGCTCTCTGCTACAGAACTAATAAGCAGGCAGTGCATATAGCCCCGTCCTGCAGCCAGATCACAGTGTGGCTGGGTAAACTACCGTGGGCTAGAAAAAGGGGTAAGATGATGAGAGGCAGTGAGAATATTGAAACTCAAGGACATGCTGGGATTCTCCTCTCAGCTCCTTGATGCCCACAGTATGAACTTTGCAAACTCTTTAGCATGCCCTCCGTTGGCTGGTCACACCTCACCTCTGCACCTCACTCACTGGGTGCACCCCTTGCTGTAGCCACTGAATGGCTGTCTCTTCCCATGCACTCCATCCTCCAAGCCTGGCTTTGCAAAGAATGGCCACTTCCACCTAGCAAATTGCTGTCATTCTTTAAGACCTAGATCAATTGTTGCTGTCGTCCGGAAGCCATCCCTGACTTTCAAATGCAGGGTCAACTCCTCCCTACCTCTACCCCCCAACCCCACGTACACACACAGAATTCTTTCTTTTTTTTAATCTTGGCTGTTTATATGAGATTCCTTCACTGGGCTGTGTTAGCCTCCAGAGGACAGGAACCATTTCTGATCATTGAACCTGGGGTGCCTGCTACAGGACTTGGTAAATAGCAGTGACTCAGTATATGTTGGTTGAATGACATTTCAGCAACTTGCTGGGAGCATCTCATAAAATACCAGATTAATATCCTGAGACTGCTCTTGGGACAGCTGCCCAGCAGAAGCAGGCAGTGTGAATCAAAATCATTTCCAGTTTCTTTTGCCTCCCATCTTCCCATTTTCTCTTTCATCTTTTATTTAAAAGTTTTTATATCAAACTGTTTCTGTATACATGTCAGTGTAATATATTCAGGAAATAGGTATTGATCACTCATTATGTGTGCAGATCCATGCAAGGTACTGTGGAAAAATCAGACTGAGCCTACACCCAAACCCTGACTTTGAGAGTTGTAGTCTGCTGGGGGATACTTTATAACTCAACTGACTAATGTGCAAAATAGAGCAGAGAAATGCCCTATTATAAAATCAAATTCTATTGGGAGTTTTATAGGGGAAGCTCTTAAGTGGGAAAGGATTAGAAAGACATTTGTGGAGGAAGTAGCATTCAAGGCTATATTTGAATTCTGGGTGGAATTTGACAGGTAAGAATTCAAAAGAACACACACTCTCCATGAAAGTCAAGCTCATTAGAGAAGCAGAGAAGCTCATTGGAGGCTGAGAGCATGTGGTCAAAGGAACCTCCTCCAGATTGGCCAGAGTTGAGGGAACTTGGGGGAGATTGATCTACAGAGGAATACAGAACCCAGTTGTAAAGGATATTGAATTTCATTTGGAAGAATTTAGACTGAATTGAGTAGGCAACAGGGATTCATGGAAAGTTTTTGTGCGGGAGACTGGTGTGATCAGTGTTGCCCCTCAAAAGGCTTATCTGAAAGTAGCACAGAGACCACACTTTAGCTGGGGAGACCCGGAAACAGGACACGTTGTTTAGGTAGCTAGAGACAATGGAGTTACCTGACCTGGTGTTTAGTGGAACTGGGAATGGAAGGAGAGATAGATAACTCATATGCCTAAATCTTGGACTGCTTTTATGGGCAATGCTTCTTTTTAAATTTTATTTTATTTGGCCAGTGCATTCCATAATAGCCTGTGAAATTCCTAAGGTGGGGCTCTTTTAGATCAAAACTTTCTTATAAATGACAGCTACTTGGAGAAACAGAACATTAATGTCTCAAGGAGTAAAATGACACTGCTCAGCTTAGTTTGCAGTATAAGATAATATCTATCCTCAGGGAAATGAAATATATTTACATCTCCATAGGGCCCTGTGCTCTGCAATTATTTACTGTACTGGTCTCTACCCCTAGCCCTGGGAATAGAACGCCATCAGAAACATAAAGTCAAATTCCTCATAATCACACTAGCACGAATAACCAAGGGAAAAACAGTAATTTCCGTGATCATGAAGCGTCTTCCCTGCCTAAGGCATTCCATTTGCATATTCATGTTTCCCTTCCTTCTCACCATCCCCTCCCCCACCTCTGTGGATTGAGTGGGTTTTATTTCCTCACACAGACAAAGGAGTGTTTGCAAAACTGGAATGTTTTAGTGTCAGACAGCCTGTTCTTATCATGGAGTGAGTGAACCATGGCCACGGAGGAATCCAGGCTGCAATATTTGTACTGTATCGATTTGTTTTCTAGAGAAATCACTTTTTCTTTTTACAGATTCAGATATTAGTTATATGTGGGATTTTTTTCATTTTGAGCATGACTCCAAAAGAGATCTGGACCATAAAAATTTTTGATGGGGAGCTAAAAGGAAAAAAGATGAGAATTATATCTAAGATTCCATTTAGCTAAATCATACTGAATAAAAAGAGGAATAATAAGCCTTTTTATAATAATAATTAAAATAATAATAAAACTATTTCCCCCAAATTGTTTTTTTTTCAACTCTAGCAAATGCTATCTGAAAAGCTTGCAGTATACTAGGCATTTGGGAAATGAGCAGAATATAAAAATGAAATAGACAAATACTCTAGCCTTAAGGAGCCTGAGGCCTAGCGGGGAATGACAGAACCAGTGGGGCCTCTGCCATGTAGTAAGTGGGAGGACCTGGGAATAAGAGGAAGCCTGCAAACCAGGTGCTGCTGGCACAGGGATGGGATAGTTCTCTCACTGACACAGGAGCCTCGCTCGACAAGGAGCCTGGTGCTTCAGATCATCACATCAGAAGACAGAGCTGACTCAAGTCTGTTCTGGCTGGTATGAACTTGCTAGAGGTGTGCTGAGACAGGGTAAAGTGAAGGAAGTAAATGGCAGAAAGGAAGCAGAGTCACAGTATTGATGCCTTTAGGCACCAACGATCCTCAAAAACATGGATTTCTAAATCATAGACCAAGAAGTAGCTTGTTTGTTTGCTCATGGAATATACCAGGCAAGGTCCCCCCAGGAGAAAGTCGACAGAGACCAGAAGAGGCCAGTGAGACTGAGTATCAGGTCCTTTCACCTACTGCAGACAGTCAGAAGCTGGGCAGGAGACCTAGGAGAGGGAAGGACCTTGCCCATGGAGACAGCAATGAGGGGCCTGCAGGACTGGGTCACCCCAGATATTGAAGACATTAGGTGTGAAGACAGCAGTGCCTTTCCAGGTTCCACTACTAATGAGAAGAGAACTTCCAAAGTGCTGCCAGGTGTGACCCCACTGCCCTGGAGCCCAGGAGCAGCTCTGCTTGGGCAGAACCCAATCCACAAGGCTGGCTGTAGGAGAGGCCAGTTCAGGCAGGCCCTGCCAGCGTACACAGCCAGCTGGGTGTATTACTCTTTAACAGCCCAAACCGTATTCCTGGTTCTGAGCCAGGTGCTCTTATATGCAACCTGTGCAGCTGGAACTTGGTATAGTTTTTAACGTGTGTCAAGAACATTTAAAATCATGATAGCTTTTGACCAATCATGTAATGACTGGAGGTCTAACTTAATTAAAAAAAAATGAAGTAAAAAGTTTCATATACAAAGATACTCATTGCAGCATTCTGTATTGAATTGAATTGAAAATAATTTCATTGCCAACAATAGAGAATGAGTAAACATATTATAAAATATGGTTTTGATGAAGTGTTATATATCCATTAGTGGTGATAGTGATGACAATACGTACTATAACACGTTTGAGTATATAACTGAAAAAGCAGGCTACAGAGTTACACATGTACTGTTCCCAAATTCCATTTGAGACAATGATGGGGAGGTCATGGAAGAGACGGCATCTGAGGGAAGCTAACTTAACATTCACTGGGTACTTTTCATGCACCTGGCTTACTGCTAAGCACTTTCATATCTTTTCCTATTTAATCATCAAGCTAGGGTAATTTCTTCATTTTAAAGACTTGCCTAAGAGAAATTGCTTTCTAACAAGACCAAAACAAAGTAGGGTGTGGAATTCTCAGGCCTTTCTGGCCTGGAAGCGCAGCCTCCCTCTGCCACACCAAGCCCCCTCAACTGGCATTGAAAATTAGTGGAATTTTGACCAGTTATGTCAAAGGGCATGACTGACATTGTGCAGATGGATAACCTTGTGGACTGAATGGAGCCCAACATGATGTGACTTTATTTTGCATTTTATTTTCTTTTTTTCCTTTAATGAGGAATGTGGGACAGTATCCAAATAGTATATGCCATACTTTAAATATACATATGATATAGTAGCTACTTTGTTGGTAGCAAAGAAAATATATCTAATGTAATGAGAGAGGGAATGTAGGCCTGTGAGGTGAGAGGGGATTGTCTCTGTCAAAAAATGAAGATGGCATACTGACTGAAGAGATGGGACTCGGGAGCTGCTACCATGCGTGTGGTATATATACAGAAATGAATTTACGAATATTCAGCCTAAATGGTAAATGCATTCCAAAATAGATTTAAGAGAAAAAAAGGGAGAACAAATCTTTTGAAGCATCCAGAACATATCAAGAGCCCAGATCTTTTCCTGAAGGTAAGGATGAGCTGAAGCACTTGGAATGGTCTCATTTGTAGTAGGAGCAAATAGAAAGGCTGCCTCAGCACGTGGAGCGAGGTCAGCCCTGCCTCAGGGGTTGAGCAGAGGTCAGGGAGGGGAGGTCAGCCCTGCCTCAGGGGCTGAGTGCTGTGCAGCATTCTCGTTTGCGGTCATCTGGCAAAAGGACATTGCCTCAAAGTGTCTTCTGCTTTCTTTTATTCCATAGCTGCAAAGCCCAGCGAAACCTGAATTCTTTCTTTGCTATTGTGATGGGGCTGAACACTGCTTCTGTCAGCCGGCTGTCGCAGACATGGGAGGTGAGCCTTGGGGGTGAGCTTGGGGGTCCACATGGACAGGAGGATTGGGGGGCAAATAAAACTGAAAGGGGACGGTCAAACAAAAAGACTTTATTTAAAATAAGTTGATTGAAATGGTTTAAATGAGATAAGAACTGCTAGAAAAAAAACGTTAAAAAGTAATGTTTAAAAGGTGCCTTGGCGAGCAGGGGATGGGTGAAATAGGTGAAAAAAAAAGTAACATATCAAGTTGGATTATTTTGATTAAATAGTCTTCTATAAATATATGAAAGAGATAAAAATTATAAACTGTTCCATAGCTAGAATGAGTTTTCTGCTCTGCTCCCATGGTAGTGGGTTACAGTTCCATGTTGGTCCTTTCAAAAGCTCCCCTGCATGGTGATGTGTGTCCAGAGCAGACTTGCTGAGATTCCAAAGAATTTAAGCTTCCACTCCTTTCACCTGCAGGCTCTGGGCAGTGTGTTCACATGGATGATGTATGTCTATGAAAAATGTGCAAAAATGTGGTGATTTTGCATTCTGTTTCTTAAAGAAGGCACACAGCATGTTATACGTTTCAGCCTCCCGGGTGCTGGTGGTGCTGGTCAGTGGTGTGTGAGGAAGGCGCTGGGTTCTCGGGTGGAGAGGCCTACCCAAGTTAACTAGCTCAAGTTCTGAAACATGGACTGTAAGGGGATATGTGGGAGAACCTGAAACTGGGGCATCCCTCACTTTATCGGGTAGAGATGTAGGATCTTCTGCTTCTCCCATGGCCCTTTTACCTGCTTTCTGTGGACTTCTGTTTCTTTCTCACTCTCTTCCCTTCTGGCCTTTGACTGCACTCCACATACTGTTTTTCTCTCATCCTTTCTCTTTAACCATCTTGTCTTCTCCCTCGTGGCTCTAGCCTGCATGTGCTCACTGCAGTCCCCTTAGCCTCTCTCCAGTTACCATTCTCTTCATGGTCCCCCATTCACATTCCTGCAAGAGAGAAGCTGATAGGCCAGCTATCTTTCTTCTTACATTAGATCTCAGATTAGGTCTCTGGGCAATTTATGGATTCACTTTCATATCATCAGGGACCATACTCCGATGGAATGCACTGTGGTGACCGGAGGGTCAGGATCAGTGCTCCTTAAAAGGGTTCAAAAGAAAAGGAATGAAAGGCCAGCCCACTCTGGTTAAGCAAACAAGACATGCATGCACATCATAAGATTAAAAGAGGTGGGAACAAATGCACAGTTGATCAGAGCAGGAGGAAAACAAATGGCTAGCGTGGGTGGGAGAGGAGTGGAATTTGAATTAAACCTGAAAAGTTTTGATTTTGCAAAAATTGAGAGAGGAAATTCAATTAAATTCAAACAGCATACATTTCATATGCATATTGATTGCCTACTATGTGCAGGGCACTGTACCAGCACTTATGGCATATAAATAGTGGGCCAAATTAGGACGGAGTGTGCTCTGATGAAGGAGGTCTTGAACCAATTGCAGGTGGTCCCAGAAAAGCAAGAGGAGAACCTCGGGGTGGCTGAGAAGCTTTGAGCAGCAGGGCCTTGGAGGTCAAGTTGGGAGTTGTTGGTGAGCATTGGGGTGGGCATTCCTGGCCAAGGTGACTACACTGTCTCTGGGACTTGAAAGGGACCACCCTATCCTAAATAGGGAATATAAGAAAAGAAGTAGGTCTGAGAAACTGCAACAGAGGTCAGCAAACTTTCTGGGTAAAGGGCCAGATAGTAAATATTTTTAGGCTGTGTTGTCCATATAGTCTCTTTGGCAGTGATTCAGCTCTGCCGTTGTAGTGCAAAAACAGCCAGAATTAATATATAAATAAATGGAGATGGAAGTTTCCAATAAAACTTTATTTACAAAGCAGGTGGTTAGCCAGATTTGGCTCTTGACTGACCCCTGAAATAAAACATTTTGGCTTTACATATGTTAAGTGTGAGGTGCCAGTGGGACCTTCATGTGGAATGTGCAACAGATTAAGATATACAACTCAGAAGAACAATTGGAATCATTTGCAGAGGTCTACATTTTGTCTTTTCTTCTTCAATTTGACCCCCATTCATTAATACATGTGTGTGTGTATAACCATAGTTTCCAAACACATTAAGTTACCTGTTTGTTATGACAGACTGAATCCAAATGAAACATTATCATATTGGGAAGTCCATATCTAACTAACTTAAAAGTTTGAATACTGCAGGGTTTGCCTTATTATTTTGATTTGTTTTGAAAACAGAAAATCCTACAAGTACCCTGTAGAACATTGCTGTTAGTGTTAATAGCTGGAATTTGTTAAGCACAGCCATGGACTGTATACTTTATGAGTTGGCTCCCTATCAGTCAGAGAGTTGGAGGTTTGCCCCAAAGAACACAACTGGACAGGGGCAGAGTAGGAATTCAAATTAAGACTGACTTACTACTAAGTCAGTAGGGAAAACATCAAATTTTTCACTTAATCATGTTCAAGTCAGACAGGAAATTTCCAGGTCCTTCTTCCTTAGGCCTGAATTTCTTCTTGGGTGGATGACATATTGCCATCTACTGTCATTTTATGTGCCACCTGCTGCCGTGGTTTGATCTTTACAATATAGTGATTCTCCCCATTAAAGTGCAAGCTTTGTCATTTAGGGTTTTCATGGCCTTTCATATCATTTTTACAAAAAATATCAGTGAACATTATTAGTCCTCAGTAAGACAATACAAGAAAATGAGAGCATTCATCAAAGGTAGCATATGTAACTGAAATCAAGTTTTTATTAAAAAATCACCAGTGTGTGGAATGTCTAACTAGCTAGATTCCTTAACCATGTGGTTGCTAATTTATTTTAAACTGTTTTTAGCAACATTCCCAAGGAATATCGCATTAAGGAATGATGAAAATTGCATAATAAGAAGCAATCAGGGTAGAACCAGATGATAGAGGTATTTGTGTTCAGAAATGTGACACATGTAAGTAAGCACAACTTAATGTCTTAGTGCCTCTCAAAATAACTGACTTCTTTGGCCTTTTCTTCTTTGTTTTTTGTTTATTTGTAGAAAATCCCTGGGAAGTTTAAGAAACTCTTCTCTGAACTCGAAAGTTTAACAGTAAGTAATTGGGCCAAAGGGGACTTACTCTTTTAATTAATTGCTAGTGTCAGGTTGCATTCCAGGTTTCAGTGGTGGGTACCTGTACTCCCCCATGTCAGGTGGCCTAGACCAGTTCACTTGCTCAGGAAAATGTAGCTTTGCTTTTTAGGGAGTGAAGCAAGTTGACAGTTAATACTTGTTCCTTTCCAAGGAAAGAAGTAGTGAGAAAGGTCCGTTGGGTATGATTTTCAGAAGGCAGATTTTTATATATAGTCCATTTCAAAGCCTACAAAATAAATTGGTATGAATTTAGTAGGCAATCAGTGTTTTATGCATTGTCCATTTGTCCTTTTTCTTTTCTCTCTCTTTTTTTTTTTTAACCATTCCTTAGGTTTAGATACAAAATGTAGAGTTTCTTTTCAGAACACAACGAAAACAGTGTCCTCTTGTTTTCTCTGCATTGTCTGCATTATGAGGACAGTTTTTCTTGGCAGTCTACCTCACAAAAGACTATTGGGTCACCTCATGATAGAAATTATGCAGAGGAAGCTGTACTTAAAGAACCTATTTGAGGAAAATAATAGAGCAATCAAAAGGTGTCTCTCTTTTGCAGTCGTTTCCTATTATTGTGAACCAATAACTTGACTTTCATTCATTGCCTAGATTTCCTGCCCTAATTTAGTGAGTTTATTCTCCTAGGAAACCTTTATCTACTTCGTTCAGAGGAAGAACCTCTCTATATCTAAATCGTGTCCAAATTGTATAGCAAAAGTGGATTTAGAATTGTTTCGATAGCACATTGATTTTTCTTTCTCTTTGTAATCTGCTTGATTCGGCAGGATCCTTCCCTGAATCACAAAGCATACAGAGATGCATTCAAAAAGATGAAGCCACCCAAAATCCCTTTCATGCCCTTATTGCTTAAAGGTAACAGTTTTTCAGTCTTTTATGCTATGTAGTTCAATCTTCCAGAAATGTATCACTCTTAACTACAGAGGGCAAAAAAAAGGACTTTCAGTTTATTTCTTTAAAGTAGTTTTGACATTCAGACCTAGCTGTGTTTGCCTGTGATTGTTTTTCAATGTTGAGTTTTTTCCATGATACCCAAGATACTTAATTGTACTTGAGCAGACATCAGAACATTTTCACCTGACTCACAAATCTTGGCACTGGAAACTTGTGTGCTTTTATTTTACTCTGCTTCTAAGCACAATCTTATTTTCTATGAGTTTACAATCCACTTAATTCAAGCAAAACTAAGGCTGACATAAACAACCCAAGCAGTAATCAGTCATGCTTTACCTCTGCGAACTGTATTTCACAGATATGGCCCACAGCCTGCTGCTGTGTGGGAAATACCTTTGGTCAACACAAGCAATAGAGTGCATGGAAATTATTGGTGGAGAATGTACTTTCTTATTTCAGGAGTGGATTCCTTCAGGGAAAGTATGTGATGGCTCCAAATTAGTCCACTGACTTCTCTTCTGTAGAACACCAGATAATTCATCATGTAACATGTTAATTAAATTTACTGAGATGTCAGTGGTCTCTTTCAAACCAAAACGATTAATGAAAGGAAAGTTCTTTTTTCATTTGGACCACAATCCTGACATTTAGTATATATCCTACCTATCTGCTTTCCAGAGAAAAAGGATTTGGTCATTTTTCTCAGCTGTATTTTGATTCTTTCCAAGGGATTCTAAGGGAATACTCTTAGATGGCCACTCCCCTTCAGAGGCTTATAAATTCTGCTTGGTCAAGCCCCACTGACCGGACCCGTAAATATGATTCTGGAAATGAGCTTCCTAGGAACTGGACTGATGGTTGGCCTGTCCATCCTCCTCGTGACCTCTCCCTATCGCCAGCCCCAAAGGCAATAGAGCTAATATTCCTCTTTGGCTTCTTTCAAGAACAACCAGAATTGTTGAGTTGCTCTGTATCTCTGCAGCTACTCATTTAGTCTTCATCAAGCATAAAGCAAGAATCTCTGTGAAACAGTAATGTATTAGGACAGTTGAGAGGCACATAGATGCCTCATTCAAGCTGAAAAGATTCTGTTAAATGTAAATAGATGAAATATGGGGAGATTGTAATGCCAGTAGAATGATTTAAAAGTTCATTTGATTCTTCATGTTTATTTCCTTTAAACATACTGACTTTTATTTGCAAAATACCTTCAACTAGAGACTGGGGGTGGTGGGTGGGAAGTAACAGAACCATTCAGACACAAGAAGAAACAGGAAATTAGATCAGATCTGGCAAAGGAATTGATTGTATGAAGAAAAAAATGTGAAACAATATTTTAATGTGATGAGAAATCAGTTGACAGTGTCCCTTTAACTTGATTAGATATGAGCAGAGCTTTCAGCTATATATTAGTGGTTTTCCCAAAAAAAAAATTTAATGCAGTCAAGTGTCTCACACTTACATCTTAGCCAATTTTCTGCTCTACTGAGTTTATCTAGGTCTCTTTGTTGGCAGCAAAAAATATTTCCCTTTTTTCTACTGAAAATACACTCACTCATTCACTCTTACAAATTAAACAATTTTTCCCTTTTTCTATTAGATGCTTTCTTGAGTTTAGATAAGCACTTATTTTCCTTTATCTCAATTTTTTATCCATTATAGAAATAAACATCATTAGCAAGCTATTGTATTTAAAGTTACCATTTTTGTCTTAAATAATTTCCAATGGAAAATAGTATGAAAATTTTAAATATGAATATATCATGCCTGAGATAAGACATTTTGGAAAAAATAAACATTAACTGTTAGGCCTCTATTAACTGCAAAATTATTTTAAAAGTGCAGTAAACTACTTTAGAGCAACCAACTTCTTAATGAGAACTCCTTGCATCCCCCACTTTTTGTCTCCTACTTTGAGTTACTATTAGAGAAAAAGGACCAAATCAAACTCCCTGGGTGTTAGAAGGATTAAGCCTCCTGTGTGTCATTTTTTGAGATAGTCAGTTCCCCAGTAAGCATGCGGATTGTCAGGTAGACACAAAACCTGAGGATCTTCCCAACCGTCAGCTTTTTTGTTTCCCAGATGAATTTCTTGCCTTTGGACTTACTGTCCCCAACTCCGTAGTAAATAAATAGGGCTCAGAAAGTGATGACTGGGCATCCCTAAGTCAGTGCTGGGGAAAGGGCCGGCTGGGCAAGAGGTCAAAAGCAGCTGCGTAGTCTGCGTTGTGAGGACACGGTGGTCCCTTCCAGGAGAGTGAACCATCAGCAGGTGTTTGAAGATAAGCTGGGGTCCTCATACGGATCTTAGAGATTATTGTAGATTTGTGGGGGTATTTAAGTAAAAGCCATGTTGGGGCTCTTTTATGTTTCTTCCTCCTCTTTTATTTGCCCTCTCTTCCAATGGAGTCATTTCATCTGGTAGTTCTGTGACGTGAAGTGTTTGGCGTGTGTTCAGGTGTCTCCAGGTGAGAGGGACCCGGCAGGTGCTCATCTCCTGCACTCTGAATCTGGTGAGCGTCCTGAACTGCTTCACAGCCCGTGACTTAAGTTCTGGGATCTCAGTTTTTTAGCTCAACTGCCTATTGGTTTCTCTGTCACCTTCCTCATCACATACCTGCCACTCAACTGCATCAAAAACTTAAGCCACTTGAACCGCCTTCTCCTGGGCAGCCGCCCTTCCATCCTCTCTTCTCTCTCCACCTGGTCAGACACACCTTCCCTGCCTTTCCCTCACGCCAGCATTAGCCTAATGGCCCCTGCCCACCCTCACCGGCTGACCTCAACAAGTCCCTGGGAGCTGAGGTAAAGTGAGACCACCCAGGGAGAGGAGAGACGTCAAGCTGGAAAGATGATGCAGAGCGGCAGCCACAGACACACTTGAGAAGTTGCAGAGGTTGCCTGTGTACCATGAATTCAGCATGTGGACTGTAATGGGTTGTAAGGAATGTCCAAGTCCTTTCCAGAGAGACACAGCAGTGAGAGGAGACTGGGTCCCCAGGCCAGAGTCCTGGCTCTGACCCTGAGAGCCTTGATCAGTGTCGCTGTGCATGGTCTTTGGACCATAGTTTTTTCACATTTTTTCCTGCTGGGGCTTTACCTTATAGTCTTTTGCCAGGATTAAATGAGTTAATGCCATGTCTGATGCTGTTAACAAATACAGGCTGTCATCGTCATCACCCTTCATCAGCGTCCTTGGGAACACAGGGAGGTGCTGACAAGCCTTGTAGCACTGGGGAAATGAACCAGTGACTCGGAGAGGACATTTTAATCGGAAGTCTCAGGGAGTTAGGAGAAACATGCTTTTAGATGCTGTTTAATGGAGATAGAGTGCACATGTGCTGTATTTGCTCTACAGAAAAGGTAAAAGCTAACTGTGTTGACTACTTTTTTCCAAGTATTATGTCAGAATGAAAGCTTGTAATTCTTTTCTGAAATCATAATCATAAAAGATAATAAAGTAGCCAGAGAATTTGTCTTGTAGCTATGTAATTGTGAATTTTTTTCCTATCAGGACATCAGTTAAGAAAAAGGGAAGGAAGAAAACTTAGGAGTACATTGCGGTTTGTGATGGAAGCTATGAATAGGGAATGCCTTGAGGAACCAGTGTACAGGTTTCTCATGGAACTGTGTAACCGGCATCGCCCCCTGGTGGGCAGTCTTTCTTATAACTAATTCCTAAACCTCCATCTCTTGAGGAGGCACTCCTGTGTTTATTGCAACCAAAAGGAGATTTTTATTTGTACATCTTCTGGTGTTTAATGCAGAGAGTCTCAAACCAAATGTAACTATCTCTGAAAATGTGCCTTCATTCAGCTTTGCTCATATTATCTTTGTCAGGGATGTTTTCTTTCTACCAGCTAAATAGGGTCAGAAACCTTGACATTTTCAGACCTGTCCCTCTCCTTACTCACTTCTGATACATAATCAGGCACTGATTTTGAGAGCCGAAAGTCTAAACGTAAACTTCTAAATCTTTTAGCATCTCAAATAAAGTAGGTCCTATGCACTTTGCCAGGATTCGTGTAAAAGCAAGCACACAAACATTAAAATTCTGTTGTTACAGGGCATTCGGTTCTTTTCTGCTTAATGTTTGCCTAAAAACATAATAGATTGGTTAAGTTATAGACTAGGGTTAGCTTATATTATGCAGGTTAAAGTCAAACACTTCATTGTCAGTGTAAAATATTTACTTACATTGATGTTATATTTTTCCTCCACTATACATAAATCATGCCCCTTCACATTGAATACTATGCAGATTCAATTTCAAGTTGCCTTATCAAATGCATGGAAAAATCTGTAATGTTTAAGAAAAATTAGTAAGTTGCATTGCATCTAGACCTCTTCAGCCTTGACTCATAATCCATTCTTAATGGTACATTTATCTTTCTGTTTTTAATTTTCAGATGTAACATTTATTCATGAAGGGAATAAAACATTTTTGGATAATCTCGTCAATTTTGAAAAGCTGGTAAGTATATTTCATTATTTCTCCATTTTCCCCCTGTACAGGAAATGTCTGCTTCTCTTTCAAGGAACAAATGGCTAATGCATGGTGATTTCCAAAAGCTTATTTGCTGCACGTTGTGCATTGTGAGTAAAATGCATTCCAATTAAAAATAAACATACTAGCAAAGATTTGAAGAACCAAATATGAAAATCTGGCTTTTATTTTTGAAAATGGCACTCCATTAATTAACATCAGTGGGTGAATGTATGTTACTGAGCTAGAAATAAAACTGTAAGGTTCCTGTTGGGAGGAATTCACACTCACTTAAGTGAAGCTTAAGCCTTTCTGCTTTAAAAGCATCTCACTGAGTCTCAGAACACACTGCTCCCATGGCACAGGAGGGGCTTTCCTTCTGGGGAGATGTGCCAGCTCCCAGTGCCCAGCTTGGATATAAAGGAATTTATAGGGTCTGCATGTGAGGAGAAAGCTACCCCTGTATTGGCCTGTGGACAAATGGTGCCACTGTGGAAGAGCAGCCCTGGCCAAGTACCTTCGCTGCCCACACCTGAGGTCCCAGAGCAGTCCTTTCTTACAAGCTACCAAAACACCTCTTCCTCACTTACGTCCAGGACTTCCCCAGGTGCTTTGTCCTGCAGTGGGCTCCTCCAAGCCTCTCTGACTAGCTTAGGGTGGAAGAGAAGTTACCTCTGAGAACTGAGCAAGTATCAAATAGGAGTCCCAGGTGACTCTGGGAAGAACAGGTTCATCTGACAGGTGAACTTCAGCATCATAGATTAGACTGTTCTTCACGGTTAAAGATGATACCAGTGACCTCTGGTCATAGATCTTGACCTTTGAGTGACTTTTTCAGTTAATGGTGACAGATGTGTATGAACTCTTGGGGAAACTGAGCCCCTTTTCCCTGTGAGACCGGGTCAGGTGTTTGAGAGGGGCTGAATGAGGCAGGGTCCACGGACCATGACCGAAGCTTAGTACAAACTGGTGAGCCCATGTGGGGCTTGATGTCCAACCTTTGCCTCCGAAGTGCTCTAACTGTCTGGTCAACTCGGCCCGCATGGCATAAGGTGGCAGAGGACTACTGTTCTACCTGAAGACCCATGCACCTGGAATCTGGAGGGCAGACACTGGAGTATTTTGCCAGGGTGCCATTTCAATCTTCAGAGATTTGTTTGTGTCATTGTGCAATGTTCTAAAGGTCACAGGGCACCTATTTGTAACCAAAGGCTGGATTCTAGACTGCACAGGTTAATCTCTAGTGTTTGGTTTTAATGAAATGACTGCAGGAATATGAAGCCTTTGGTCAATATTTACTTCAAATCCCAGCCAACACATCTGGTTAAGAATGCCAAATAAACTTTGGAAAGCATGTATAAAGATGTGGGATGAGGTGTGGCAGACCAAGTGGGATTTCTCTGTAAATATCTAGCAACTTTCCCTCTGACTAAGTCAGAGGGAACACGGAAGAACAATTGTGCTTTTGTAAACTGACTCTTGTCTCTTGTGAAGGCAAACTGGAGCCTGGCCTTTTTCCTGAAGTGAACCAGTAGTTTAGTTAAGCTGTTCAGGTCATTTGCCCTCAGCTAGTGCTACCAAACTAAGAGAACAATTTGACAGGCGCCAAAGGGAAAGGACTGGGAAAGATCCCTACAGCAGTCTTCCCTTCATTCTGCCAGCATCCCAGGTCCCCTGCTTTCCACAGCAACCCAGTGGAAGCCCTTTTCACATCAGTGAAGGTGGATTAGGGTCTTGCTGTCAGATGTGCCAAAACTTTGAACTAACCATTGGTAATGAACCAAAGAAAGTCTAACTAGTAGTCCTTCTAGGGCCAATAATTGTCTGTGCCCTTAATTCTTTAAGAAAGTATAAGGAAATAACATAGCATAAATAATTTTACATTCTAAATTACTGAAGAGAGTTTTTATTTAAAAGGCAGCTACAAAATAAGTACAGTTGTGCATATGCCCAGTGGGCCTACAGGACACACAGGCACCCATCAGGTGCCCGCTAGCACATCACTTCTAAAGAGAGCAGGTTTTGTACCAGTGAGTTCCTGGGCTCCAAAACAGATGGCACTGATGATATAGCATGCTTCATGCTGAGCCCTCTTTGCACAGAGAAAACAAGGTGAAGTTAGAATTTTTTCTAGAAAGACAAAAGTCTGTTTTACAGTGTACACAGCCCTATGTTATACTTGGATGCTGGAGAATGAAACTGAATTTCCTAGTAGAGCCAGTATTTTCAAGGATGTTAGCACAGGACAGGGTTTCACTTAAGCTTAAAACAGGATCATCTTTCACAATAATGAACTAATAGAACCTAACTGAATTAACTTGTGAAGCCAATTCTTCATGATGGATATTAGCTCTTCAAGTCAGCTAGCAAATAATTCAGTGTATTATCTTTATATGGCTGAAACAGGCCAACACATTAAGTCAGACAACACGAAGGCCCAGAAGCACCCACTGGGTTTAATAAGATTTCCATTGTTTTCTGTGCTGCCTCAGCAACTCTCAGTGTTTCAGTCTCAAACTATTAAATAATGAAGACCCAAATGCTTTCTCCTTTTTTTCTCTCTGTCTCTCAATGTCAAGAGCATCATCTTCTACCATATCTTCCTCCCTGTCCCTTTAGAAACCTAAAGGTGAGGATCAGGACTCAGGTTTCAATGCCTCATGCCCTACTGAACGTTGCATCGGCTCCAGCCCTGCACGAGCTATGCAAATGGCACACGATAGAAATGAGTGTGACACCATAGCTTAAAACAACATGAGAACAGTCCTGGCGCTAGTGGTAAAATTTGGGGAAGTAAATATAACAATACACTCATAGACATGAGTCAGGTCCCATTTCCTTTACAAATGCAACTTACGTGACTGCTATAATCACCATCCTATTTAATTTTCCACTCTTGAGTAGAAATACGTTAGAAACACGGTTGTGAGAAAGACATATAAAATAAGCCATATTTGAATAAAGTTTCCATAGTCCTGCCAGATTTTAAGTAAAAAAGAAAGTTTTAATATTAACATTATTCTTGTAGCAATAATTTATTGAGGGTTTGCTGTGCACGGATGAGCCTGTCTTCAGTGAGTATGAGCAGGATGTGAGTGACAGTCCCTCTGTGGATGCTTAGAGGGTCAGATAATGGATAATGCTGGTTCTTCAATAATAGGACGATGTTTGGATGTTGATATGGAAAAGAGAGCGGGTTTTGTAGATGTTCCAGATGATGACAGTGATATTGGAAGATTAGTCTGACAACTGTGAAGGAGGACTGTTGGGGAGAATGGTCTTGTCCTAAATGCTCTCTTTCCTTCATCCTGGAAAACTAAAAAAGGTGAAGCCAGAAGATTGTTGCAATACACAAGTCTGAGGTGATGGGATCTTGTCAAAAACAGTGTGACTTTAAGGAGACTTTTACTAAGAGAACCTAACTGAATTAACTTGTGAAGCCAATTCCTCATGATGGATATTAGCTATTATCTTTATCTGGCTGATACAGATCAGGGAGAACTGTAAAGAAAGGAATTAAAGCATAATACTGAAGACTCTAGGAGGGAATGTAAGTCAAAAAGAAAGCAGTCTCTGCAAAGATGTGGGTGTTTTAGAAACTGTCTTTTATGACTATCTAATTTCCTGCCACCATTTGAGATACTTGAGTCTTTGATTTCCCCCAAAATTCTTGCCTCCATTCAACAAGTCTGTGTGTCACCGTATGATGTATAGTAGGTGCTGGACTTTAATTGATTGTATTGAGCATGGATTACAGAAGAGTATTTAGTTGTTGTCTTTAGAAGCAGTGACTCCCAAACCTGGGTGCACAGGTTCTAACTGAGCCCTGGGAAAACCCACTGTGTGGCAAAGCCACAGTCCCCACACCCAGTCTGCCTGTCCAGAGCAGCTTAGGCTTTTCACTTCTGGGAACATTTCGGCTTCTCTCAGTGAAGACTTTTCTGAGATCCCCCTTCTGAACTTCAGAGGTTCCATTCTCAACATTCCCACCATTCTTTGTACAGTACATATCGGCTCTGTGTTGTCATCACTGTGGTGAGCTCTTCTCCTGTAGGCCAAAGCCCATTGACCACTAGACAGCTCTGTCAACTCAAGTCCAGCTCCAAGTGTAGCTCAGCTTACGCCCAAGGGGGTCCATGTCCCTCCATCCTAGCAGATGCTGCCATGCCAGCAACATCCTTTGAACCTTCCATTGACATGTTCCCTGCTCCGCCTTTCAGCATATGATTGCAGACACTGTCCGAACCCTGAGACACTGCAGGACTAACCAGTTTGGTGAGTAACTGAAGCCACATGGGAATGTAGCTTTACCATACATTGGTACAGACTGTGACCGTAGCACAAATATTTGGTGGTAATCAATTTAAATAGATTGTAAAGTATAATATGCATATTATATGCATAGGCTCTGTTCTCTCTCTGTTTCACCAACTGCATGTTTGGGATGCAGAGGGAGACAGGATATGGCAGCTTTTTATCCTCTCACGGCAGTGGTTTACACTGTACAGAGTGACTACCGACCATCAGAAGCTCCCCACCTGACCCCTAACCCAGAAGTCTTGTTTTCTGGCCTATGGCCTCAGAATTACCCGTGGGCTTATCGGGGTGACCCTGTCTCTAACCTCCTTGCTCGGAGCCTTCCTGGAATAGGAATATAGTTCATAAAAGCACCAAAAGCAGCCTTCCAGAATTTGTCCTCCTCTCCAACAAAAACTTCCTGTCTGGAGCTGCCTTTCACTGAAAAAGTATTTTTCTGAGCATTTTGTATACTCCCCACTGAGATGAATGTGTGTAGGATTATTTGTTTCTGAGTCTCAGGCATAATTTACATTATGTTTAAATGGTATTATAACATTGCAGAAAGGAAGGAAATCAATTTTATTGAATCCAAGGAGCTTTCACATGGGCAGTGGAATCCTGACAACAGGATTGGTGATTGGCCGATGGGGATGATTAGCCTTGTGGGCAGAGCAGAAAACAGAAGCTCAGAGCAGTTCCATCATTCTGCCCATTTTCAGAGCAAGTCTGCCTGACTGCCTGGCCCATACCCTTACCTTTGCCTTGTGCAGATTCTATAGATATAAAGGATAATAACAAAAAAATAGGAAGTTGAGTTTAATAAATCAGTCAATCAAAGGTGACCTAAGTAAAACTTTGCAGAGTAATACATCCTCACTGCAAAATAATTTTTTGAACAATGCAGATGTTTATATAAGGTAGAAAAATCCAAGTCCCACTTCCTAAGGATAGGTGCATATGTTTAAGAACTTTTTTCTCTCTGGGCTGATCTTGGTTGGCAATAATTATCCTCTAACAAAGCAACTGAACTTCTGCATGAATTACAAAGTTTATGTTTGAAAGGGAGAATTATAAAGACGGGACCTGATTTTCTAAATATTCACATCGATTAATACCATTTGATATGTGTTTATATAACTCTCCATTAAGTACCCAAGTACAACACAGCTACAATAGCAACAGCAATAATAACATTGTCACAGAGAATCATTCAAGTGTACAAACATGATGTTACTGATGAGTACTGGGTTATGAAGACTCAGCAGATTCTAAGACATTAGTCTCACTCACCAAGGAACTCTGATTTATATACACTGCAGGTGTGGACAGGAAGGTGCCCTGGCTTGGTTGGCTGTGACCTAGTCTTATGCCTCCCATCACCACAGAATAAGTCTGCATAGCACAAAGCAGAGGAAACAGTTAAATAACTATCAGGCTTGGTCATGTTCTATACTTACATATCTTTCAAAATTGGGTTTGGCACTGAATTATCTAAGTTCATTTTGACAGTTTACACAGGCATAGTAAGAAATGCCAGCATTTGGGGAAAAATAAGATAATATTCTCTGGTAGACCTTTAGTAATGAGTTGTTAGAGGTCCACAGAGGTGGGCTTCCTGTGCCAACTCACCCCTAATGGCTGCCTTTTCAATGAATTACCTGGTCTAGACTGCTATCCCATGTAAGTACAATTTGAGCCACATTTGTAACTTAAAATTTTCCAGTAATCTTATTTTAAAAGGTTTTTAAAAAAACAAGTGAAGTTAATTTTGATTTATTTGACTCAAATATCCAAAATATTATCATTTCAGTGTGTAAAAAATACTAAAATATTAATGAAAAAGAGTAAGATAGTTAAGCCATTTATAAGTTTTGAAGTGCCATGCAATTATGGAACCATTCATCATACCATCTTTTTTAAGGCCAAAATACTGACAAAATTATCATTGTACTACCATGTTTCCTAAACCACTATTTGCTAAACCAAAAGCAATCTCATCTTTGAGTTCCAGAGAAGGTATGCTCCACGAATGCAGCTTTTTGGTCACTTCCAAACAAGTGGGATGGTAACAACTCTAACTCCTGGTGCTTTTACTTTTTGAAACTAGGAAGGCTTATTTCTATTAAATTTAAGAATACAAGCCACCCATGCTATACAAGCCTTAAATTATAAAACTTTTTGTCATAGAGGAGGAAAAAAAAGCAGCTTTTCACCAAGAGAAAGAGTTGCTGCATTAAAATGCTCAGCCTGCGCTGGGCCCCTTCCTTCTGTAAGCTGAGCTCCAGCCTCACACCCTTCTTCTCCCTGCAACTCCTGAAGCGAGAGGATGTGCGGTCACCACCACTGATGTTTGCGGTGCCTCACTATGGCCCAGTTTAGCCGTCTCTGGGTACTCTGAGGCTTGTTCGTGTTGGTGTTTGTGACCGTGGGAAGCAGGCTGGCCCCGTCTCCCGGCTGCTTTACCCCTGGTTCCTTATCGGAGCTGTCACCAGCATGGCACATATCTGGTGCAGTGCACTCAAAGCTCCTGGAGCCCTTTGATTCTTGAACCACTTTGGAGTTGGGAGTGGAAAACCCTCTTGCCTTGCCCTTTGCCAGGTAGACAGAGCCCATCCACATCCCTCTGGGAACTTGCTTTGGCTGTTCACCATACCTTAAGTTTAGTTCTGTGATATCTGCTCACTCAGTTGGTCCCTTAATTTTTTTTCTCTGATACATATGGACACCAAAGGATTATACAGGGTCTTAAAAAAGGAACTATTGCATCCATGTGCTCACTAGATTAGCAGTGATTTCTAACAATTCCAGACTGAGATGTAAGAGCCAGTGAAAGCCATTTAAATGAGCCATTGCTGTGATGTGGACCTTGGGAGCTGCATGGCCTGGGTTCCTGTGCTGCTCGGTGACTCACTTGCTGTGAGTCTGTGATGTTTCCCTTCTGCAAAGGGGGATGACAACATAATCACTAAATAGTATACAATGTTAGATATTAAATGCTGTATGAATGTGGGTGAAACAAATACCCTGCCAGCCTAATAACTGACCCGAGGATCCTAGTCTGGGCTGAAAAAGCATCATCACTATTGGGATAAAGAGAGCTCTTGTGGAGCTCTTCGTGGATTCTGGCTAACAAGCCCACCTGATAGATTTACTCTAAGCCTTAATGTAGGGCTTTACTGGTATTAGCATTTCTGCACTCATGAGATTGACTATCTTTTTTTACTCCAAAAAACAGGAGGTGACATGTCTCCCAAAGAGCACCAAGAGTTAAAATCATACGTTAATCACCTGTATGTCATTGACAGCCAGCAGGCCCTGTTTGAGCTCTCCCACAGGATGGAGCCTCGGGTGTGAGTCCTGCCGCCCCACCGCCTCACGTCCCCTGTAATGGCAGCACTTTGAGCTATGGGAATGTCAGTGCCAAGCATGTTGCTTTCCTGTGAGGAAAGAAGTTGCTGAGTTTTATCAGTGTATCATAAGGCATGCATAGGAAAGCCAACAGAAGTGTGCTCAGGAAGTGACATCATCAGCCACCAGACACAGAGAGAGGCCTCTCGCACTACTGTCGGAACGAGCAGGCAGAGGAAGAGTCAGAAGCATTCTCGAATGGAGAAGTCTGGATCAGCAATGTGGTCACAAGAAACCAATCCAGTTTTCAATTTGAGGTGTGCCTACATCAAGACAAGAGAACATGTCTTATCCTACAGGGACTGACTATTTGACTACGAGTATGCATTAAACATGGAGGAGATTTACTTTGCCTGGGAGTAGATCCCTGTTTATAGGCTGTCAAAGAAGTTGCTCATTTGAACACTTAAACACAGTGATGGCATCTCTAGGTTTCCTGGAAGAAGGAGTGGTCTCTCAACACAAACCGTGACATCATCAAAAGCCCCTTATGTTTAGAGAATCAGGACCAACAGCTGGCATCCATGCTCTGATTTCCAAAAGTGAAATGTCAAGGCATGCATATCTTTGCATCCACAGTCATGTATCAATATATGCTTGCAGGTGAAATTTATTTCTGCACAACTGATTCACAACTATAGGCAAGTTAGGCTAAGTTGCTTTGCCAATAAGGAAAAACAGTCTTCTTTAGGAAATTGACTTGTTTAATTCCCAGGGATTTTTCTTCACATCTGCAAGTTCACATCTCTTTTTGGGAACAATATGATTCTTGAGAAAGCAGAGTGCCTGACACATTGTAGGCACTCAGGAACTACTTACTGCAGTAACAGAGTCACAGAGGTCTGCATTCTCGTGCCTGATGATGCTCTAGTGTTTTGCATGCCTCCAGCAATCTCCCTGCCTGCAGTGTGGAAAAATAACAGCCACCGCAGGGAGGTTAAGTGGGATTAGACGTGTAAAGCACTTGGCACTCCCTAGAGAAGAGCAAAGTATGAAGATAGTGATGATTGCCCATCTTTCAGTAAATGAAAAGTACCCCAAAATAGCCAAATGTCTGATTTATGTTGGACACTTACAAGTGCTGTAGTCCATCTCCCAACCAAGGCAGGAAGCATTTCTATGATTTTTTTTTATTCAAAGTCTCAGAGTCATTTAAGTCTTTTTTTATTCCCATTTTTACAGATTGAGTCTCCTACAGTAAATAAGACCTCTTTATATTCTCAAGAACTGGTTAGAGGATTGCCCTAGACCTTCAAATGAAAAAAGAAGCCTATGGGATACAATAATGAAATCCACCCCTGCCAGCTAGACAGTGTCCCATTACTAATACGAGGTTCCTTCATCATGTATTAGGTCCATTCATTTTCCCACTCGTGTGAGTCCTGGTGCCCTTCTCACCACTCCTGCTGTTAGTTCCTGGGCACCCATACAGAGGCTTTTCCTTTTTATCAGCACCTCATTCCTGATGTGTGGCCCAGGTTTTCTGGCTCCTTTATAGCAGTGCTGTTTCCTGGGCTTAGGAAACACACTGAGCTTGAGGGATCATGGAAGGAACCACATGGAGAAAATTCTGACTTTCAAAGAGACATGTTCTTCCCCAACATGTAAATCTTCAGATAATAAACAGGATTTATAGAAAAGCACCATCAAGGGCTGGTTCACTGAGAGAGATGTTCCTGGCTGCTGGGCATGGAGTGAGACCTGCTGGAGACCGCAGCCATCAGAAACGGAGAAAACAGACCTGTGTCCCAGCTGATCAAATGCTGGAAAGCTCTCCCCTTGGAAATTCCTGGGGATAGCAGGGACTTGGGGCACAATCTTGAGTCCCTGTCGTTTCTCTGTGTGGGAAAGTAGCAATTGGCCAGTCCAGTCATGGAAAGCCATTTTGACATTGTCTGTGTTTTACAGTTTAAATTTTTATTCACATTTTTACTCACTCCATTGCTCCAGTTAGAACATTACCTCTTGAGGACTAATTTTCAGTGGACAACTATTTCCGCATAGCGCCTGCTGCTTAACCCCAGTTCAAATATGTACATGGCCAACCGAGTCCACCCATGCGTCAGGTGTAAGTACACTTTGATGTGTACTCAGTGTATCCCACATGGCGTGGGTGGACACAGGGCATGGAGAAAATAGTGCTGTCCACCATTTCCTCCAACTATGGCCATGTGGCTCTCAGGGCAGCAAAAGGAAGGGAAGATTTTGTTTAGTTTGCATTTGCTTTTCCATCCCTATTTTCTGAAGGTCAAAAATCTCCAAATCTTTCTGAAATAAAACAACTGTCTCCAGAGACTTCCCAGGCAGCAGCTCTCAGATATTTCAAAAGTCCTGAGAAGACTCAAATCTGGAGTTAAAGAATTCAAGGCATACTTGTGGAAATTGGATTTAGCTCAGGTGAGGCTCTTTCTAATGATTTGAGCTGTCCAACAGTGCACGGGCTGCCGTGGACAGACACTGCTCCCTGTTCATAGGATGGGCCATCTTCCCTCTCGAAATATTGGTCAAGGCCTCTTGAAATAGGTTTTGTGCTGGCTAGATGGTGGCCTAGAAGATATCTGAGCTCCTTTCCAGCTCTCATAGATTTTTATGATCACATACGATCCATGCACTCTGAAAATCTCCTGTGATCTGCCACCTTCACCAGCGAGCATGCACAGGCATTTCTGAATGGGTTCTTTTTGCTACAGCACATCTCTCAGCCCTGTGGGTCTTTGGATCAGCATTTCCAGTGAACCTGCCCTGCTTGGAAGTCAGCACAGACTTCCTTTAGGCAAAATTTCTGAACAGTTTTTTCCATACACATAAGCAGATACTTAAGGCTATGGGTGTTTTAAATTCACTCTGTGTTATAATCTGCTCAATTGCCAAAGGTGGTTCTGAGAAAAAATTATAGCCTACATTCAGTTTATTCTAGTATCATTAATTATATTTAGAATAAATTCATTTTCCTGGACCCCTGTCCACATGCAAGTCAAATAGAGTGTGCACTGAATTCAGAAGCACAAGGTTACAGTAAAAACCCACACCTCCCAGGTGGCAGGGAGATATAGCACTCATGTTAGCTAGCCTCCAAGTGGGGAGAAACCGTTGCACAGAAGAGGGGGTACTCGTGACCTCTGATCCCCAGAGCAGGGCTTTCGCTGTGGCCCCGTTATTTGTGACAGCTTACAAACACCACGGCTCCCAAACTTCATGTTCCTACATGGTTACAGCAGATCCAAGCTTCACAGAAACTGGGCACAAACATTAAAATGGAGATCAGGTCCACTGCAGTTTTCTGATGTGGAGTTTCTTTTAAATGTTTCAAAGACATGTCCTTAAAATTTCAGCCTGCTTATTAATGAGTGGGCCGTTGTGCTTAGAACAAGTAGGGGGAAAAAAGTTCTTAAAAATTGCCAAAAAGTTAAATGAAAATGTGCTACTGTATAAAGCAAAGCTGTATATACTAAACATTTTTTAGCAGAGTAATATTTATTTGCATAGCCTATTTATTGTATTCGTATTACACTGTTATTAAATACTGAGATGAAATCCATGACCTGCAGCAAGGACTCTTGCCTTGTCATGTATCGTTCATTAGGACTGAGTGACATTTTCAGCTTGCATTAACAATTAGAAGATAGAAAACCCGCAGTGGGGGTGTCTGCTTAACTTCTCAGGGACTACATTTTGTAGTTTTCCATGATTATAAGAGCTGGTAAATATGAAACATTTGTTGAGTTACCAGAATTGCCATTAACAGTATTTTCTTTCTCATGTTTCATGCTTTCTGCTTCTGTATATGACTGTGCTGTGTATTTATCGAAGCTAGTAAGCAATAATTTATATGTAAAAATGGCCAAGCAATATAAGGTGAAAACTTATATAAGTCACTGTTACCTTATCTTGTATTTTTGAGTGTTTTTTTTTTAAACTGCTTTTCCAAATATAAGATTATGTTAAATTCACACCTCATAGCTTCTGTGTCCATGACATGTGTGGGCTGCGTAGCTTGTGTTCTGGCAGCCTTATGCTCAGTTGGTTGGAACTCAGAAGGCATTTGCTCACTGAGAGCTACACGTAGGGGAGGAGATTCCCAGGCAGCCTGTAGAAGCCTAAATCACATGCTGCCGTCACATAGTTGGAGAAGCTAACGACCCCATGGTGGAAATGACATCAGTGTTCTCATCCTGGGATTTGAGGGACCCAGCAGCCCCTGTACCCGACTCTGCTGGAGTAGGAATAGGAACTCTTCCTTCCTATGAACCCAGATCCTGAGGGAAGCTCCGAACCCTGGTGGTGATGCTCTAGGCCTAGAACAGAGGCCTTGGCAGCAAAGACTATGGGTGTAATGACAAAACAAAGTGGTAATAATGATGGTCCAGGCAGTGGGGAAACCAGCTGTGTGTAAATACCCATGCACCCTGTGATAGCCCATGTCGTCATTCAGACTCCGCTCTAGCCCTCCCTGCCAGAGGGCTGTACACTCTGCCCATTGACCCCAAGCCTGGCCTTTGGCAGGTGGAGATCCCTTCTTGCAGGAGGATTATGTATCTCACCTTGATGAACTCAGGAGTCGCCAAATGTCTTGCTCTGTCCAGTGAAAAATGGGGAGAAGCGGCCCTGTGCAGCTGCAGCGTGTAAACCAAAGCTGTACAGGGTAGCCTGTGCTGCCGTCTCTCTGCCGTGAGACCTGCAGTGTTCCGGGTAAAGGAGCCTCCGTTCGGCTGCGTCTCCAGCTTGTGAAGGACACGTAATCAAGTGGGAAGTAAAACGTCATCATTAGAAGCCACTGTGGTTTGGAGATGGTTTGTCACCTCCACAGAATTTAGCCTAAGCTGCTTAATAGTGTCCCGGGGCGCTTCTTGCTGGATACACTGCCCTATCCCTCAGTCCCTGCGTGGGCCGTGGTATTGGCTTTGCATAGTACTTGATGGGTGGGACCTGTTGTCACACATTCATGTGAAGGACTTACTTTTATATGGGAAAAGGTAAAGGAGATGATTTCTGGGGCACTTAATCTCCAGGAAGTGGCACTTCTGGGAAACAAAGGAAAATGGGGAGAACAAAGGGGGCATTGCCTCTGAGACAACTGGGAGCAGGGGGAGGAGGACAGTGCACCTGCCATGCGGTGCTGCCCACAAGCCCTCCTGCTGTTGGGGCTGGCAGGAGCCGTGCACGCGAGGAAGGGAGAATGGGCGCCCCAGGCTCCAGCTTCAGAAGGCACTAGGCAAAGACGGGGAATGTCCGGTGTGCTCAGGGTACTTGGGGATTTTCTTCATTGGCATTGCTCTATTGGGAAGATGAACAAGGCTCCTGCAGACATAGTACGTGATGGATGAGACCGGTTCATAGAAGCCGGTTCTTGTGCAAATTAGCAAACTTCAAAATAAACTTTCTGGTCGTGACCCTGGTGCACCAGCTACAAAATCATATTTCAGAGCTCCATGTCTGCTCTGGTTCCTCTTTCAAGTCTTCTGGATCCTCAGTGAGCCATTGGATACTTGCTTTCCATTCACTACTTTAAACAGAGCAGAGTCCTAAAACTTTAGTCCTGCTAATCCTATTCCTGAGGGCAGCCCAAGTATCTCGTACCTGATAGAGAAGCAGCCAGCTCCCTTCCCAGCACAAGCCCCACCCAGCAGGGCAGACACTGCGCACAGTGCCAGGGCCAGCCTCCTGCCGCTCGGCTCTGGGGACACGAGCTGAGATCCTGCTCCAGCCACACTCAGCTGGGTCAAGGTGCAGCTCTCAATTTTGTTTCTCTTGAGTCCTACTGTGTCTCCCAATTACATATCCTTCCCCTTGGGCTGGAGGTCTTCCAGGGCTTGGATTAGGGTTGTCTCTGGTTAATGGTCGGGGCGTTTCTACAGCAAGGTCATTTTTCTCCTTACCACAGCGGTCCCATAGGAAGCCCAGGCAGCCCACCTTCTGCCTCATGCCAGGCTGCAGGTAAAGGAACTTCTCAGCCCTCCCCACATAGCACTTGCACTCCAGGGTGAAACTAGGGCCGGGGGTGGGTGGGCATGGCTCCAAGGCCTCCCCTGCTGCCTAACTGTACCACCTCACTAGTTGCTTTCTGCTTAAACTGCACGGCAGATCTCGGTGAGCCTGGGCATTTCCCCTAGGAAGAGAAGAACAAGCCCCATCTTGTGGACTCACCCCCCAATACCTTGGGCTTTCCTAACATCCCCAGGTTTTCAACATGAAAGTGGGGAGGGTAGAAAAGCCAAGCACTCCTGACTGGGCTCTTCTTCCCTCAGGAAGACCCTAGGCAGGCCCAGCCTCGGAGCTTTGCCGGCCTGCGATGCCACCATGGTAGGTGGTAGTGAATCCTCCTCTCCCAAGGTCCCTTTCCAGCTCAGATGGTCAGAGGTTCCCAGGTTGTCTATGCATCATTAGAGGCTGTAATTTCTAGTTACAACTTGAGGGAAAATAATCACATTCTGAGTCCTTCCTTGCAACAGCCACTTGAAGTATCTTGGACACCAAAACCAAGGAAAAACACAGCAGAGAGATGGACTCCTCAAAGGCAATTAACCCGCATGGGAGACGTGAGGCAGTGGCACTGAGTTCTACGGCAGCATGGCTTTCTGGTGTCTCATAACTGGGAAGTCCCTTGCTCTGGGGCCACCTCACACCGTGGGTGATGCCAGCTCCCAGCCAGGTCCGGGCCATGGGCACTATCTTGACTTCCCACCCAGCACCCTGCTCATCAAGTTCCCCACCAGCTGCTCCGGCCCGCCCATGCCCTGGCTGGCCTGACTGCAATCACTGCAGTGGCCTTCTGCACAGTCTCCTTCCCTCTGTCCTAAATTCCCCCCATATAATCTCCAAACTGCCCTCAAAATGTGTTTTCTCTAAAACACATATGTGGTCATGTTTCTCTGTAGCTCAGAATCCTTCAACAGTACCTCCCATGCTGTAGAACTAATCATCAATTGCCTACAAATTCTCCACATTCTGGCTTCTACTTACTACCTCTCCAGGGCCAAAGAGATGGGTCAGATACCCCAAGAGACTATTTGGCATCCTCTTTAAACTGATATTCTGCATGTGGAGATTCCTACTGTCAGAAAACAAAATTCATCTAAGTAAATTCAAAGATCTAAATGGTTTTATTAAGCGATTCGTGAATTAGGCAGCATCCCCTCCAGCAGATAGAAGTGCTCCTAGGAATTGTACAAAATGAAAGGTCTTATAGACATGAGGGTGGGGGAAGTTACTAGCAAAAGAAAAGGGGTTCTTGGGGGCAGATCGCTTTCTCTTGGGGGCAGGGGTCTTATGCAGATGACCCCATCTTCCTTTAGGGCAGATGGAGAGGCTCAAGTGACAGATGACCTTATGCAAGATGCTGACCGCAACATTCCTGGCTGACTCCATTTCCCGGGGAGGTTGAAGCTGTAGTTGGGTTTGGGTAGTAAGCCCTGGTTTGGAGACGTGGCCTAGCAGCAGTGACCCCATGCTGGGCCTGTGTGTTTCTTTTTAACACTTCTAATGAAAAGGCCTGGTGAAAATAATATGCACCAAACATTTGCTAAATTAGTAAGAGTATGTGAGGCTTATTTGTTACTTTCAAGGTGTTGAATCTTGAAGCCAGATTGATAAGGATACACAGATAACTGGGGTGGGGACCCCCTAACTGGAGAAGCCTAGGCCACCACAATTGCCTTAAGAATAATGAGTTCTTCCCCACCCAGGATGCAAACAGAACTAAAAGCAGCCTACAGAGCAGGTGACAGCTGTGTTGGGAGGCCTTTCAGATCCCTCCCAGCCCCTGGCTCTTCAGAATGCTGGTGCAGAGCTGTGACTACTAGAGCTAATTGGCTGTTCTGTTTTGTTTTAAGGAAGTGACTTGCCTGATGTGGGAAATAAGAACTGTTCAGGCTGCTTTGTATTCAGTTGACCCTACTGGCCTCAGGCTAGAAGGGAAAAGGCAGGGGGGTGGGTGCTGGGAGAGAGTACCTCGCCTCTTCCCTGTCCTGTGCCTGTGCTGACTCCACACTCCTACCAGAGGCCATGCCTGCAGTGGATAAACGAATATGGGCCCTGGAATCAATGCAGCAGGGCCTGCTTCTGAGGACCCTTAAGCTACTGCCTTCCGAAGGGTAAGGAGGGAACCAAGAGGATTCAGCTGTCCAGTCTCTTCTCTGCCCCCTGAACACCTTGTGCCCAGGAACCCTTCCCTACCTCCCAAGGGAGGCTTGTCCCACCCCACACTGAACCCCTTGTCTCCACTGGCATTTCTACAGCAGGTCCCACCTGTTAGCCGTTGGGGACCCACCCTGCACTGCCTTGCCTCCCACCCAGCGTGGACTACTCCAGGGTGAGGAAAGGGTTAACATTGTAACCTCTGAGGCTGGACTGCCAGGTTCAAGTGAGGCTCAGACTTTCAAGAGTTGGGAGAACTGGCAGAAGTTTACACCTTGATCTTAGCTACTGTTTCTGCACCTCATAAAATGAAGGCCAACATGCCCCCTACCTCACAAGGTTGTATGAGAAGCAAAAGGAGAAAATGCATGTAAAGGGCTAAATACAATGCTGCTGCACCATCTGCACTCGAGTGACAGCTCTTTAGATGACATGATTGGGATGATTACCAAAGCTGGATGTGTGCCAGCAGATTCGCACCCACCACCTACTACGGGCAAACTGCTGAACGTCACCCACCGATATTCTCTTGATTGTCAAACAAGATCATTAGTGACATTTTTGCTACAGGGCTGCTGGGAGAATGACACGGAGTGTGGAGTGTGCATGTGAGAGTCCTCTGCACTTGCTGAAGTGAGATACAGACTCGAGATTGCCTGAAACCCTGAGCGCCTCGCATGACACCTGGACCAAACAATGACTCCCTAAGTGTTTGCTGATCAGTCTGAGGATATGTACATATAGCCTCCAAAGTTGGGGTAATACTAATGTCAGCATTACTACATCAGCACAGGAAGAGAAAAAGCCAGTCAGCCCTTA